GTCCGTCTCCCCCCTAGGGCGACAAACACCCGCCGGGCAAAATGCCCAAAACAACAGGACAACCCGACACCTTCAAAAATCAGAGCCCGAAATTAGGCAAAAAAATAGAAGAGGGTAATACTATTGAGCTTTGAACTTATACCAGTGAGGATACCATCGCTCTCCCAAGGACGTCAGCACGGCACAAGCTCTGAAGGAACAAACATCCACCCAAGGGCTCCCAGTACCAACATTGACCTCCCATGACATTGCAAGCAGGCTAAGAACATCTAACCTTACAGGATTCTGATGTGTAATAAGCTGTATGTCATTTCCACAGGGTACAGCAGAGGTTTCACTGGTTTAAGGCCTCAACACTTAAACGAATACCAATCCAGCACTGTGGTGTGAGGTTTACAGAGAGGGCTGCTGTCTGGAACTCACCAAATTTTTCCAACCTGAGGCCTTGCCTGGCTGGCGGTGTCCTCAGAGGCCATCAGACACCTTTTTCTTTGGTGCCCTCATTGGTGTGCCCTTCCACCAAAAAAGGATGGCGGAATTCAGGCCCATTGCATGTGGTAAAACACCCTTCGGGCGCCTAGTCGCCAAGCTGCAGTAAGAAGGTGAGTCAAGAGGCTGCTGCAATGCTGAAACCCAACTCAGCTCGTTTCGGCGTTCAACAGCTTGAAGCCCTGCCACGCAGCACGAGTATATATCAAAAACATGTCCTATGAAAAAGCCCTTGGTCAAATTGGACTTTGCCAATGCTTTCATACTCAGTCAGAAGGGATCTGCTCTCCAAGCAGTTTATAGAAACTTCCTTCCCTTTATCCCTTCATAGAATCGTGTTATAGTGTGACTCTAAACATTGTTTGGGAGGACCATGAAATTGACTCGTGTGAGGCGTGCAACAGGGGGGAGCCCTCTCGCCCCCTTTCTATTTTGTTTGGTCAACAAGGAGAAGTCACGGAGGCACGTCATCCACGCGAGCTCAATAATCTGGTTCCTGAGAACGACGTACCCTGGCTGGCACAACAAGTCCTCTCCTGGGAGGACACCAGTACAATTAAAAGACATGGGAGAAAGCCTGGGCCTTTCTTTAAAAAAAAAAAACCCCTCCCAAAATGTGAAATAGTTTCTACCAATCAACAGTTGATACAGAAATAGTACCGTTTTTAACCAGGAACTGCACGAGCCATTGATCCAGCCAATAGCACTCTCCTCTCGGTGCTCCTCTTGGTCCAATGCCATCGATCTGGTCCTAGAAAAAAAGTCTCAGACCTCGCGACGATGGAAAGCAGATGAAAGACATTTGAAACACACGATGCCTTCTACCTACTCACCAGGTGCCTGTCAAACGCCAAAACTTACCTATTTTCTGAGAATGCTCCCCAAGCCTCACAGTCCAAAACTCAAGGAATATGACTCTCTCCTGAAGGCCATGCTAGAGAGTGTATTGAATTCTTCCCTACGATGGACAGTGGTTGCAAGCCTCACTTCCGGTCAGGCTTGGAGGGCTAGGAGTACGCAATCCTCCCAGATTGCTCTACCAGCTTTTCCTATCCTCTTCCATTGCATAAACGGTTGATAAGGACAAATTCTTCCCATGTCTCAGGCTGCGTGGGGGCTCATGACTCAGCAGGAATAGAAGACCCTAGCTATGTCAGTGCCATCACCGAATGGAGAACTCTTGCTGCTCCAGCCACCAAACCTAGTGCAGGCACTGGCTCACCAAACAGTCAAGCCTGGGATAGCCCAATTGCTGAAAAGGTGCTTGCCCAACAGCTCAAGGGCTGCAACATCAGATTGGAGATTGCCCCGTCTCCCAGGCTGTGAGTCACCTCACTCCGGGGACTTTCCTCCAAAACAGTTCCCATATCGGCAATGGATACGCGACTCGAACCCCTAAGACCCTCCGTATTGCAGTATGGCTCTGCGCCTTGCTGCCCCAATTCACCACATTGAATATATGTATTTGCGGCAAGTGCAACAACCAATCCGACTAACAAGGTCTTAACTGTTCCAAAACCAAGGCTGGCATGCAAGACACAATGAGGTCAACGACATCATTAAAGAACCCTTGCTACAGCTGGATGCCCTGCGAGAGGGAGCCTCATCACTTGCCCAGCACACAATACTCCACAACCCACCAACCCGCCCCGACGGGATCACCATCTATCCTTGGATAGAATGGCAAGCTCTTAGACATGGGACTATACCTGTGTGTCCACACTGGCTGACACCTATAACCACACAGTGTGGGCGACAGGGAGGAGCTGCTGACCAAAGGGAGGAGTACAAGTCAGCAAGTACGGGACATTAGCCAACAGTATCAATTTGTCCCAGTGGGATCGGAGACCTTGGGATCATGGGGAAAAATGCCACACGTTTCCTTAAAGAATTGGGTTCCAGACTCATCGCACACCACCAGGACCCAAGGGCAGGCCACTTTCATGTTCCAAGCGCCTCAGCGTCGCCATCCAGAGTGAAATGCTTGCTGCGTACTAGGCTCACGTCCCAGCCTCGGATGCAGCTGGAGGAAATTCATCATCTTTGAATACATGTGCCATTGTATTCATGTTTATGTTTTTTTTCTGTAAATGTATTTGTTTATTAAAAAATGTCAGCATAGAATAGAAACATATAGGGGGTGGTAGAAAGAAATATTCAAACAGCTCCGGGAGAACCTTGAGTTTTTTCTCTGAGGTACTTTATTGTCTCTCTGAAGGAAGAGGGTTCCCCCATTCCAGCTAGAGAGGTGGTACTTTCCCTATATAATTTATATATATATATATATATATATATATATATATATTATATATATATATATTATGATAGAATATATAATATATATATAAATCTATATAGTATATATTATATATATATATTATTTATTTTTTTATTTTATTATCACAACCGGGCCGATTCACCAGGCAGGGTGGCCCAAAAAGAAAACTTTCACCATCATTCACTCCATCACTGTCTTGCCAGAAGAGGTGCTTTTACACTACAGTTTTTAAACTGCAACATTAACACCCACTCCATTCAGAGTGTCAGGCACTGTACTTCCCATCTCCAGACTTCAAGATCGGCCTTGCCGGTTTCCCGAATCCCTTCATAAAATGTTACTATGCTCACACTCCAACAGCACGCAAGTTATTAAAAACCATTTGTCTCCATTCACGCACTCCTATCAAAATCACTCTCACTGCATGCCTGCTGGAATCCAAGCCCTCGCACACAAAACCCTCCTTTACCCCGTCCCTTCCAACCCTCCTAGGATGGCCGAACCCCTACCCCGCCTCTTCCACAGTACAACTGATACACTCATGAAGTCATTCTGTTTTCGCTCCATTTCTCTACATGTCCGAACCACCTCAACAACCTCCTCACCCTCTGGACAACAGTTATGTAAACCGCACCTCCTCCTAACTTCCAAAACTACGATATTCTCTGCATTAATATGTCACACCACACAGCACATTGCCCTCAGACATGACGCTCCCATGCTGCCAGCCTTCTCCTCGCTGCAAGAAAAAGGGGTAAACATCATCACCCACGCTTCACAACCCATATAAGAGCGTTTGGTAAAACTATACTTCATACATTCCCCTCTTTGCCTCCAAGGACAAAGTTTCTTTGTCCTCCACAGACCCTAAAGTTGCACCACTCACTCTTTTTTTTTCCCTCATCAATTCTATGATTCACCCTCATCTTACAACAGAAGACCCATCCGCTGACACGCGTCCACTCCCAAATACTGAATAACGTTTCACCACCTCCATACTCTCTCCCTCCAAACTGATTATTCAATCTTTTCTCAACCTAATCTTTTTGTTATCCTCATAACCTTACTCTTTCGCTGTATTCACCTTTAATTTCTTCTTTAGCCACACCCTAACCACATCATCAACCATCTCTGCAACATCTCTTCAGAATCTCCCAAGAGCACAGTGTCCATCAGCAAAGAGCAGCTGTGACAACTCCCACTTTGTGTGTGATTCTTTATCTTTTAACTCCACGCCTCTTGCCAAGACCCTCGCATTTACTTCTCTTACAACCCCATCTATAAATATATTAAACAACCACGGTGACATCACACATCCTTGTCTAAGGCCTACTTTTACTGGGAAAAAATTTCCCTCTTTCCTACATACTCTAACTTGAGCCTCACAACGTGAGATTAAGCAGTTTCAGGGTAAAAGCTTATTTTTTTTTGGGGGGGGGGCCGCTTGTTTGATAATCCATTGGACATTTATGTTTAAGACGAATTGATTAATTTAATTTGCTATATCAGAAAAGACTTTAGAATATATTATTTACATATACTATAACTTTTTTGGTATGTTAATACTCCATATAGTGTTAACTGGCAGGCGCTGCTTTACAGTGCGTCACTTGACGGAGTTTCACAAATACAGCAATTTTCAGTTATACCCATTTTTCATTTATTCAGACTTTCTACAGTAAATGTATTCACCACTCACTGTAAGCTAAAAACGAATATATTTTGTACTGTACGTTTATGTAATTTTTTAGGCCTAGGTTTATTTATAAGTTCACTTAACCCTTAAACGGTCCAAACAGATCGACGTTCAGATTCGTAGTGCTACAAAAGTAGATCTACTTTTTTTACATATTTTCAAATATAACTAAAATGTAGATAAAAGTTTTTTTACGCGTTTTCAAATGTAAAACAAAAAAAGAAGATCTACATTTTTTTATATACGTTCAGATGTTGAAAAAACGTATATAAACGTTTGGACCATTTAATTAAGGGTTAATATATGATAGTGTAAACATTTTATCAGGCATTTACATGAGTTTGAAAATGCCATGATTTACTTTACAGTGACTTCTCGCTCTACAGCAGTAGTCCATAACCTAACCTGCTGTATAAGCGGGGCCCCCTTGTATATGCATATCATGACATCTTCCACCCCCGAGGAAAGTGCCACCCCATATGCCTGTGGTAATATTGTGTCCCTCTTGAATTAATTTCGAATGATGTTGACTTACAGGCGAGCTTGGCTGATGACGGAGGCAGCAGTCTATGTGAGGGTAACCCACGAGCAGTTCGTAGGACCCACAGTGATGTAGGTGGTGTTGGAGGCCGCACTTGTCTCCACTACTCTCGCCAGTTATCCACACCACAACCCATCAAGATCAGACCAGCTCATAGACTTCCACAACACACTGCTTCTTTACATAGGTCTAAAAGGTAAGCAGGAGTTCCTCAGGCAAGTTTGTCTTGTAATGGCTAGTATTGTTCAACATTATTTGTGGTCAGGTTTGTCTAGTAATATACATTCATATCAGTGTTATAATATATATATATATATATATATATATTATATATATATATATATATATATATATATATATATATATATTATATATATATATATATATATATATATATATATACATAGTACCTTTCAGTTGTCATGTAAAATCAAGATGAAAATAAGGAGGGAAGACGTGTTAAATTTCAAGTTGTGTAGTTTGTAAAATAATTTCATCGTTGAAAATAGTTGTTGTTTTCAGGGTTATGACGTCATGTGATGAGCCATGCTCCCTGAAGTCATATTTAAACAACGTATATTTTTGTCTTTTACCAATTGGGACAATTGCGTGTGTGCGTGTGTGTGTGTGTGCGTTTACGTGCGTGTACTTATACAGTAGTTAAACGTGGGAGGAGGACTGCATTATTTATTGGACAGTCTTTCTCTACTCGTGCAATACGGATTTTTTTTCCTTAAATGATTTTTCAGACATTTTTATTGCACAATGCAATACATTTCTCATCTTTAGTCATATCCTGTTTAAACTCGTTATATATATATAATATATATATATTATATATATATTTTATATATATATATATATATATATATATATATATATATATATATGTTTATATATATTCAACAAACAGGCCGTATCCCACCGAGGCAGGGTGGCCCAAAAAGAAAAACGAAAGTTTTTTTTTTTTTTAATTTAGTAATTTATACAGGAGAAGGGGTTACTAGCCCCTTGCTCCCGGCATTTTAGTCGCCTCTTACAACACGCATGGCTTACGGAGGAAGAATTCTGTTCCACTTCCCCATGGAGATACGAGGAAAGAAACAAGAACAAGAACTAGAAAGAAAATAGAAAACGCAGACGGGTGTGTGTGTATATATATGCTTGTACATGTATGTGTAGTGTGATCTAAGTGTAAGTAGAAGTAGCAAGACGTAACTGAAATCCTGCGTGTTTATTAGACAGACAGACACCAGCAATCCTACCATCATGTAAAACAATTACAGGCTTTCGTTTTACACTCACTTGGCAGGACGGTAGTACCTCTCTGGGTGGTTGCTGTCTACCAACCTACTACCTTTATATATATATATATTTATTTATTTCTTGTACTGTTATACATTGAAGCCACCAGAATTTGTATTCAAAATTTAGATATTACAGATACCAGTACCTTTTTCATATACTAATAAGAGAGAGAAATCATTCATTTATATTATATTAACGGGGAAGTGCCAGACCATATAGGGTTATAGCAGCTGGGTAATGAGAGCAGTAGTTGTGATCTTTACACCCTTGCAAGTGCAGGGCTCTCCAGCTCGGGAATTGGATCTGTGCTCCCCTTCCTGGGATCGAACCTGAATGCTTCCTATTCCCCTAGGCGCTGTATGACCCCTGTTGAGTTTAGAGCTTCCCCATGAATGTAATGATAATGTGATATGCATAGATCAATTTGACTGTTAGGTCACTTAGATCTCGAACCAATAAGAAAGAACTGACGCTGAATAAGACACAGCACCTGGGTATCTTTATTCTGAAGACGTTTCGCAAACCAGTGGCTTTATCAATTCAGTACAAAGGTTATTGGAATTGTTAAAACAGGAGACAGGGGACGAGGTAATCAATCTCAGTCTAGCTGGGGTTCGCAAGCGTAGTCTTGACTTTATGGCAAGAAACATCCACTCACCTTTATGGTGACCAACATCCACCTAGTAAGCCTCATTGCAGCTAACACCTGTCTAGCAAGCTTTATAGCAACAAACACCTGTCGAAATATTAGGTCAAAGGTGGTGCAATCTACAAAGATCCTATGTCCTGCTCCATGACCTTAGACCTTGATTTTTTTTTTAAATGCTTTATTCCAGATAATTGCAGATCTAAATGTCTTATGCAAGAATTGTTGGTTCTTCAGATGTATTTGTTCCTTAACTCTGGTGTTTAGATCTCTGCAAGTCTTGCAATTGGAAACTTAATTGCAATAATTATCAGGAATTTCCTTAAGAATGGCAAAAGAGTCGTAATTGTTGTTGAGTTTGGAGAGAGTTAAGCTGCCACTGGGTTTAGGGTCTTATGAAACTGCATCATAATTCAGAAATCAACAGTTCTTGAGGACTCGCAGCAATGGTTTTAAGTTGGAAAAATTCAGATTCAGGAAGGATATAGGAAAGTACTGGTTTGGTAATAGAGTTGTGGATGAGTGGAACAAACTCCCAAGTACAGTTATAGAGGCCAGAACGTTGTGTAGCTTTAAAAATAGGTTGGATAAATACATGAGTGGATGTGGGTGGGTGTGAGTTGGACCTGATAGCTTGTGCTACCAGGTCGGTTGCCGTGTTCCTCCTTTAAGTCAATGTGACCTGACCTGACTAGGTTGGGTGCATTGGCTTAAGCCGGTAGGAGACTTGGACCTGCCTTGCATGGGCCAGTAGGCCTGCTGCAGTGTTCCTTCGTTCTTATGTTCTTATGATGTAAATAACACTTAGATGCAGCAGATATCTTCTAACGTTTTGTCCAGACAGAGGCCTTATCCAGTCATTACTGACTTTGTAACCCCCTTTGTGGGGTGAATCGTTGTTATTTGTGACAATACATAAACCCTGCACCTAAGTGTCATTTACTCCACCTTACAGTATTTCCATAAACTCCAGTTCTAGGTCATAGTAATGGTTTGGGCAGTCTGGCATGCCGATGGGATGATGCGGCTGATGTCCAGTTTTTCCTTTGATTTTTATGATATATTTTTCTTGCAGTTTATGAAGAAAATGCTGGTGAATTTTAACTGGGAAAAGGAATCCAAGTTAAATATATACTTTTTTCAAGAAACTGGAGATATTTAGTCCTAAATTCCATTATGGATATAACATATTACTGTAAGAAAAAAAAGTGCCCAGTTTTACAAACTCTTCTCCCGCACCACGCATATGCTAGTGTATAAGTATATGAGTGAATGCCTAAACACGTTAAGGCAACCACTGCAAAACTGGCAGGTGATTCCCATAGAGTTAACTCAAAAAAAAAAATTACTATGGAAATAGTCATGCGCCGCTTAACGATGGGGATACGTTCCGGGAAATGCGTCATAGGGGATTTCGTTGTGAAATGTCATGGTGTACACTTGCTCAGCCTCGATGGTATAGCTGATTACACACCTAGGCAATATGGTATAGCCTGGGTGTGTAGCCTGTATGGTATAGCCTAGAAAAGAGTACACTCTAGAATAATGATAAAATGTACAGTAAATACATAAGCCAGTAACATACTTGTTTATTATCATTATCAAGTATTATGTACTGTACATAATTGTATGTGCTGTAGTTTTGTATGACTGGAAGTGCAGTAAGCTTATTTACACTAGCATCACGACAAACACACGAGTAATGTATAACGCTACGACGCCTACGAAGTCACTAGGCAATACTAATTTTTCAGCTCCATTATCTTATGGGACTACTGTCATATATATGATCTGTCCCTGACCGAAACGATAATCAATTTAATATATTGTGGTGTTAGACAAAAATTGTAACAAAAACATAAATTATGTATTACTGTAAACATAAGCTTTGATATCCTATTTTAAACTCTTAAAAACATGTTGCAGGAAAAAAAATCACAGTATACATATATGAATATGATATAGGTAACAGAGGTGACGACCTGAGGGTCATACCTGAGTTTATATCACATTTTACGAGAGGTCCTAACAGGAAACTGATCTTTATCTTCAGCCTTAAGAGAAGCAAAGGGTCTTCACATTTACGGCGATCAGTCAGTCAACCTTTAGATCTGGACAAGGCCTATGATACTCCAACTTCAACACTACGCAAGTGTAGAAGTCCAACAAATGCTCAGAACACACGACAGAGAAGACCGTCAGCAGGGAACATCCTTAATGATGACAACACAACTTCAGAAGATGAGATTGGAATATCGGATTCTGAAGATTTCAAAACTGATCTGAAGAGAAGTTTAGAAGAGGTAAGTCCCTGCTTTAGTCACTTTATTAACCTCTTCCCTCAAGGGAGGGGCTCTTGATCCAAGGAATTGGATCTAACCTTATCCTTGGATTGAACATAATTGGATAGAAGTTCATTTGTACAGTGGAACCCCGCATAACGATTACCTCCGAATGCGACCAATTATGTAAGTGTATTTATGTAAGTGCGTTTGTACGTGTATGTTTGGGGGTCTGAAATGGACTAATCTACTTCACAATATTTCTTATGGGAACAAATTCGGTCAGTACTGGCACCTGAACATACTTCTGGAGTGAAAAAATATCGTTAACCGGGGGTCCACTGTATATCAGTGTCTTTGTATAGTGAGAAATATACTTCAGATCTTGACCTCGTTTAATCCTGTGTTCTTGTTAACTCTGTTATTAGTCATTGTCTCCACTTCAAGGAAATCACTATTTGTATGACACAATTTTCATTGTGTAATCTGTCTTGTGTGTGGCTGAATTTCAAAGCTGAAATAAAAGTTCTTGTATATAGCTTGTGTATCTCTATTAATACCATTTTGAGTTGATACATGTTCCCTAATTCTGTACAAAGAATAATCTAAATAATTGCTTCATCTCACTACCAAGTCCTGTAGTGCAGTACCATAAAAACATTCAACCTCTCATCATTCATACTGTTTGTAGGTTAATAATAACTAAGTTGCAAAAACTTGCATTATTTGAGAAAAGCATGAACTTGATTCTTGGCTGTAGAATGGTAATATTGATTTAGTTTTTAATTTATCTTTTATTTGCACTAAATGTTTACTACATATTTATAGTTCATGTAATACATGCTTTTGATTTCCTAACATGTCTGTTATTAAGAATATTTTGTATTAGGTGTATCGAGAATGTTTCACCTTTTCAGGATGACGATATGATTGTTTATGCAGAAGCTCTCTGGGACCATGTAACATTAGACTCTGAGGAGCTTGTGTTCAAGGCTGGTGATTTAATCACTGTGATAGATTCCAGTGATAAAGACTGGTGGTGGGGCCGAATAAGTCACAGGGCTGGATGGTTCCCAGCTGCCTTTGTACGGGTAAGTTTTATTTTTGTTTTGCACTGTTTCTGGAATACACAGAACAGCTTTGGTAATAAATACTTTGCAGTGGTTTCGTCAGCTCCTATAGTAACTATTACAACTCCAAGGCAATATTTTTATTGTTTATTTAGTGTACTGTAATATGGTTTACATGTTTTAAAGCAGTTTAAACACTAGGGATTCTGACTTCAGCAGTTTAAATACCACATAAATAGTTATGATTAAAATGAAACATATGCTAATTCAGATTAGATATTTTGAAAACCCATTTTTAGTACAATAATTAAAAAAGTGATGATGAAACATTCATGCAGCAACTGCAGCTTTATGGATTATCCAAACTCATTTCATTTATTTAATTCATCCTTTTATTTTTAAGCAGTACAGTACTGAATTTGTTATCACATGTTATGCACTATGACTAAATTTTTTAGAACGGCATATATTAACTTTCCTGAACTGCCAGTAGCATAATGTAGTGAATAAAGACGTGCCAATAAAATGTCACCATTTTGGAGCTAATAGTATCTTATTTTCAGATACTTGTAAACCAAGAAGATCATCAGGAGTCCAGAATTCACGATGCACGCATTCTGGGACCAGCAAGAAAGCTCAGCGTTTCAGGCTTATCTCATGATCAGATCCGTACCAATGTTATAAACGAAATCATATCAACAGAGCGTGATTTTGTGAAACACTTGAGGGATGTTGTTAAGGTGATATACATATGTTTTTAGTTTCTCCAAACTTTCATAACCAAAGTTATTTAAATGTTTTCTTAAATATTAATAACACTACACACACTATTGTGATAGTGCTGTTATAATGAAAAAAATATTTTCTTTATACCCAGGGGTACTTGCGACAAGTTCGTAAGAGACCAGACATGTTCAGCGATGACAGAATATCAACCATCTTTGGCAACATGGAGGCTCTGTACCAGTTTCAGAGCAACTTCCTCAGAGAGCTAGAATTATGTATAGATTGGCAAGAGCCCCACAAATCATGTATTGGTGCTACCTTCATTCGAAATGTAAGTTTAAATTTACAAAAAAAAAAAAAAAAGTATTTTTTCGTAAAATAGCGAATATTGTATTGCATTGTAATTACAGCCTCTCCTCACATAGTGATGTATTTGTTTACCGGAACTCTCTGACCAGTATGCATACCTAAATAATGTATGTTAGAGCTGATTTCCTCTATTCTGTTTATTACAATATACATGTACAGTACTCTACTGTATAAACATTTAAAAATGTACTAAAAATGTTATAAATGATGCAGAGGTGACACTAAAACAGTATCAAAGATAGTTGACACAAACCTACTACCATTATAGTATGCTCCTTGCTTAGTGAAGAATTCGTTTACCGACGTGGTCTTAGGAACGGAACTCCGTCCGTAGGTTGGATTCAATGAAGGGGAGGACAAGTCCAATTCCTTGGATCAAAAGCCTCTCACCTACACTGAGGAAGCTTCCTCAAGGGGGGTTTCTTTGTATAAATTGTAACAGGTTTTTTTTTTTTAACTCATTTCTTTCTTTTTCCAGAGAGAAAAATTTGAGATATACAGTGAATATTGCAATAACCACCCAGCTGCAATGTCATCACTACAGGAAGCTCTACCAGGACCAAAAATACATTCATTTCTTTGAGGCTTGTCGACTTCTGCAAGAAATGATTGATATCTCATTGGATGGGTTTCTACTCACCCCTGTTCAGAAAATTTGCAAATACCCTCTTCAACTTCAGGAACTTTTGAAATATACAAAGGTATACACGAGCTTATTGTAAAAATTATGATTATTCTGTACTATTTTGAAGCTCATAATACCATGGTTCAGTCATGGTCATTACACCTGTTGCCCTTGTTCACCTAGTGGTAAATGTGTAACAAAGTGTTAGCCAACTGTTGTGAATGGCACCCTGGAAGGATGCCATTCACAACAGTTGGCATCCTCTTATCAAAACCCAGTCCTACCTAAGGTAGGACTGGGTTTTGAAATGAGCCAGTATAGAGTAACAGCTCTTAGCCTGTAAACCCGTGTGCTAAAAATGTAACAGGCAAACTGCTAAAAAAATTCCCCTCTACCATTACCATGATTTTTTTCAGGTGAAGGCATGCATCATTTTATTTTTCTGCAAATAATTGAAGGAAATCACATGTAGAAATCACAGAATGTGTTCACTATAACTGAAGCTAGGTTTTTTTCTTTTGTATTGGAGAGCAAGGGTGGCCTCTTGTGATGATGCATGAGTGGGTTTTAACATATTTAATTGTTGTTATTATTGTAATCTTTGGAGAGTGTTAATTCCATAGGGGTCAGACAGAACCCCAGTGAGAGGTATCTCACCTAAACTAAGAAATGTGGCATTCTGTTTTATTGGAAATGATTGAAAAGGGTGGTTACACACACACAAGCAAGTTTTTGTTAGAGCTGAAACAGCTATTTTCTTTTGAAATTTCAGTAAAATATTGTGCAAATTACATGCAGTAGTTATGTGCTACTGCAGCTAGTTGTTACACATGGCAGATGCACAATGTAAAATAAACTGGGTTATTGCTTTACAAAATTTTTGTGATTTATAAAGGGGAAAACATCATTGTCATGGACCACTTCTCTGCTTGCCACTAACCAAAATGCTTCAAATTTTCCCATAAAACCACAACATTTGACCTGCATTTTGAGAGAGGTACAGTACAGTACATGGAAAGCTGTTTGGTAAATGTTAAACAACTTTTCTATCAAATTTGTAAGTAAATGTAAGTCTGAATATTTTTATGCCTGGACAGATTTTTGCTTTTGCAAGTAAATTTATAATCAAATATTCATCAGGAACTATTCCACTCTTCTACAAATTTAATACTTTGCTGAATGATGTCCCTTGGTGTCAGTCCTGGACATTGTTTGGTTTGTGTCATCTACATATTTGTATCTGTCAACAATCCTATTTGTCAGGAATGGGTTGAGTCATGTGTTTAAAACCTTCCATGTTACACTATACTAAAAAGAGGAGAAATTATTAATAACTTTGGCATGTTATATTTCATTATTTTATTTAAGTTTTTAATAAAAAATGTCAAAATGTCATTCCGTTTTATAAACTACTGAAATTAGTTTCTGATATTCATGTGTAGTAACATATTCATTCACATTTCAGCCTGATCATCCAGATTACACTAGTGTTCAGGGAGCATTAGAAGCTATGCGAGACGTCGCCCTTCTTGTCAATGAGCGAAAACGGCGCATGGAATGCTTGGAGAAGATTGCTTCCTGGCAGATTACTGTAGAGGGTTGGGAGGTGAGGAGCATGCACAAGATATAGTAGCATGTCTTATTTGTATATCAGAGTTTAATATAACTGCATTACTTAATATGTATATACTGTATATGTATATATAATGGTGATAAAAAATGTCCTTAATTTTTCTTAATAGGGGCCTGAGCTCCTTGAAGATAGCTCACAGTTGATCTACCAGGGAGAAGTAACGAAAGGGGCTGGTGGATCTTGGCCCAAAGAAGTGACTCTCTTCCTATTTGATCATCAGCTTGTGTATTGCAAGCGGGACCTACTCAAGCGGAATACATTCGTATACAGAGGGAGACTCAATCTCGATATGTGTGAGGTTGTTGATCTCCCAGATGGGAAAGGTAAGCTGTTGATGGACATACAGTGGTACCTTGGGATAAGAACAGCTCAAAACTCGAACAGTTATGTAAGTGTATTCATGTAAGTGCATTTTTGGGGGTCTGAAATGGATTAATCTGATTTGCATTATTCCTTATGGGAACAAATTCGTTCAGTATCGGCACTCAAACAGCCTTCAGGGACGAAAAAATTAGTATCCCGAGGTACCACTGTATATAGTAAATAATTTTTAACACCTGGACAGAAAAGGCATCCTGCTGATAAAACTTTGAAAGTACTGTATACAGTGTGTATAAGATTAATGACAAATATTAGAAATTTATTTTAGAACTGAAACAAGATTCATACATTATCAGAATTTCAGAGTGACATTTTCATCTTGGACTTCCAGCAAGCGTGCATGAGTGTGTTAGATAGGAGTGAATGAAGACGAATGGTATTTGGGACCTGATGAGCTGTTGGAGTGTGAGCAGGGTAATATTTAGTGAAGGAATTCAGGGAAACTGGTTATTTTTATATAGCCGGACTTGAGTCCTGGAAATGGGAAGTACAATGCCTGCACTTTAAAGGAGGGGTTTGGGATATTGGCAGTTTGGAGGGATATGTTATGAGGCATGGCTTGTGGATTGAGGCATGGCTTACCAATAGAAAGCAGAGAGTTACTATTAATGGAGTGAAATCTGAATGGGGATTAGTCACTAGTGGCGTTCCACAAGGATCAGTTTTAGGGCCTCTACTGTTCATAATTTACATTAATGATCTTGATGAAGGGATTACTAGTGACATGAGTAAGTTTGCTGATGATACAAAGATAGGCCGTATAATTCACTCTGAGGAGGATATCAATGAACTCCAGGACGATTTGAACAAATTAATGTCTTGGTCTGAAAAATGGCAGATGAAGTTTAATGTAGATAAGTGTAAGGTACTTGCCCTTGGTAATGAAAATAACCCTCGAAGCTATAATCTAGGTGAAGTAGAGCTTGGTCATACAGAATGTGAAAAAGACTTGGGAGTCATGGTAAGCAGAAATCTAAAGCCAAGACAGCAGTGCCTTAATGTGCGCAACAAGGCCAACAGATTACTTGGATTTATCTCAAGAAGTATAAGTAACAGAAGTCCAAAAGTTATTTTACAGCTCTATACATCACTAGTGAGGCCTCATTTAGATTATGCTGCTCAGTTTTGGTCCCCTTACTACAGGATGGACATAGACTCATTAGAGAACATACAGAGAAGAATGACTAAAATGATTTACTGTGTAAGGAACCTCCCGTATGAAGATAGACTTAAAGCCTTAAAATCTCCACTCTCTGGAGAGGCGTAGAATGAGGGAGATATCATTGAAGTGTATAAGTGGATGACGGGCATAAACAAGGGAGACATTAATAAAGTACTGAGGGTGTCGAACCAGGTAAGAACCAGGAATAATGGATTTAAGTTGGATAAATTTAGATTTAGAAAGGACATAGGTAAGTACTTTTTTTCTAACAGAGTTGTAGATGCGTGGAACAGTCTTCCCAGTGGGGTGATAGAGGCTAGGACCTTGGGTAGCTTTAAGAAGAGACTGGACAAATATATGAGTGGGAGGGGCTGGGTTTGATTGGTGTCAAGGGGTACAGGAGTTATTTCTTGAGTAGCTTTAGGTAGATGTCGTTTTGATAAGGACCTGCCTCGTATGGGCCAGTAGGCCTTCTGCAGTGTTCCTACATTCTTATGTTGTATCATTATACGTATATGCTTCTAAACTGTTGTATTCTGAGCACCTCTGCAGAAACAGTGATTATGTGTGAATGAGGTGAAAGTGTTGAATGATGATGAAAGTATTTTCTTTCTTTTTTGGGTCACCCTGCCTCAGTGGGAGACGGCCGACTTGAAAAAAAAAAATTCATCTTAACTGTAGACTACACTTCCATATTATATACTTTTATAATTTGGAATTGCCCTTTTATATCTGTGTTTGTTCGAGGCTAACAGAATGATTAAAATAAAATGGACAATATGTAAGGCAGTATAATGTCTTCAGTTTGTCTCCTGGATATTACTGAGAATTTCCAGGAAATATATTCACATAGTGTTTCAAAGATTGTTCATACTTTTATTGTTTAAAAATCAAATATATGTATTAAAGGCAAGTAGTACAGAAATAAATTTTCTATATATATACTGTATTCCATACTCCAGATGTAACAAAGGCTAAGAAGGTACATTATCTGTGAAAGCTTATTAATGACTAAGTATTAGAAGTTTACATTACCTAAAGAGGGGACTCATTATCCTTTTGTGATTAATATGAAGTGTCACTCCACAAAACATTTGCCAAGTTGCCACACACGACACCTGTGTGAGCTGCCATGCCACCCCCTCATTGTTATTAACATGCACTATATTTGTATAAGTTTGTGGTAGTTGGAAATAAATTTGGTTTAAATCTTCCAGCCTTTACTAGTACAGTATTAGCAAAACAAACTTGAACTCTCAACACATTATAAAATAAACACCTGCAGAATACAAATGCATTTGATGAAAAAATAATTGAGAAAAACTGTTTATTGAAAAAAAAATTGTTTGGTAACATTTTGTAAAGTGATTCACTTGACTAAGCACAAATACCTTTAGTATCCATGCGTTTTTATGGCATGGGACCAGTTGCATCACAAATAGGTAACCTAGTGTACACACTGGGTTTCCTCCTCAACCTCAGTATTGCACTTTAACACCATCTCTTGTGAATAATTATGTTGTCACCATGGAAACTTGGATTAAGGTTAAGGTTTGAGAGTAATAGAACAAACAGAATCACTTACAGGTTGGTAATGTATAGACAATTTAGTAAGTACAACATTAAAAAATAATTCTCGTTTCAGACTCCAGCCTAAACATTAGTGTTCATAATGGATGGAAAATTCGTAGTCTTGAGAAGAACAAGTGGTATGTTTTTTCATGCAAAAGTGCTGCAGAGAAACAGAAGTGGATGGAAGCATTCAGGTAAGTCAGGTTCAGTATCCTGTAATTATATTAATTCTCCATGGGGAAGTGGAAAAGAATCCTTTCTCCATAAGCCATGCTTGTTGTAAGAGGCAACTAAAATGCTGGGAGTCGGTGGCTAGTAACCCCTTCTCCTGTACAAATTACTAAATGTAAAAGCAAAACTTGTAGGTAGTAGGTTGGTAGACAGCAACCACCCAGGGAGGTACTACCATCCTGCCAAGTGAGTGTAAAACGAAAGCCTGTATTTGTTTTACATGATGGTAGGATTGCTGGTGTCCTTTTTTCTATCTCATAAACATGCAAGATTTCAGTTACGTCTTGCTACTTCTACTTACACTTAGGTCACACTACACATACATATACAAGCATATATATACACACACCCCTCTGGGTTTTCTGCTATTTTCTTTCTAGTTCTTGTTTATTTCCTTTTATCTCCATGGGGAAGTGGAACAGAATTCTTCCTCCGTAAGCCATGCGTGTTGTAACAAGCAACTAAAATGCCGGGGGCAAGGGGCTAGTAGCCCCTTCTCTTGTATAGATTACTAAATTTAAAAAGAGAAACTTTCGTTTTTCTTTTTGGGCCACCCTGCCTTGGTGGGATACGGCCGGTTTGTTGAAAAAAAAAAAAAGCAAAACTTTCGTTTTTCTTTTTGGGTCTCCCTGCTTCGATGGGAGATGGCCAGTACATTAAAAAAATTATATTAATGTAATGAATACTAATGAACACACAGCAACACAAAAACCCTGCATGGAAAGCATTTCTGTCTCCATGTGCATTTTTGTGTCAAACTTTAAAATTATATGTAATGATCAATGCAGTGACTAGGTTGATAATATCTGACTTGAGTATGCAGTATGCCCCTTTCTCTATGTATTGCATTTATGTACAGTGATGCCCTGCTTTGTGTCATTTCGGCCTACGTCAAATTTGCCTTTATGCCACTTTTCTAGATTAAATTTCAGTTCAGCAAACATCGTTATGGCTAACTTTACATCACTCAGCAATATCACCTACGTCATAATTTTTTGAATTGTGTTCATTATTCTTTAAAAAATATGTATGACTAAAATGTGATTTTAGTGTTCTTTAAGATTTAGCAGTAGTTATATTCTTTCACAAGTTATTTATGCTAGTTTTACAGTGTTCGTCATTTTCAGGCATTTTTTAACTATTATGTCCGGTTTACATAAAAAACCAGGTTACATTATGGCTCTTGGAACCAATTAGTGACATATGGCGGGGTATGACTTTATTTATATTATAATAAGCTAAGTCTGCCAAACTAATCCAACAGCTTTAAAAAAAACAGATACTGTACTTGGAAAATTTTATCACATGCATAGATATATTTACATGAATAAATACGGCTTTAATTTTCTTCTAAATTTGCACCTAAAATTAACCTAATGTAATATATCTGTATAGGGTTAATTTTGTTATATTCCTACCAAAGGACACATCCCTGCTTACTCTGTCTATGCTCTGAGTTTTTCATGTGTGTGGAAAGGACAGTGCCTGCACTCTGAAGGAGGATGGAGATGTTGCAGTTGGAGGGTAATCTGGTGATCAAATGAATGGCAGCAAATGTTCTAGCTTCTTTGGGTCAGCCTGCCTTGGTGGGAAATAGCTGTTGAGTTCAATTTTTGTATTTTTTTTCACCTTGGTAGCCAAGGCAGGGTGACTCAAAGAAGAAAACAAATTTATCATCATTCTTTCAATTGCTGTCTTGCCAGAAGTGTGCTGATGTCATAATTCAGATTACCCTCCAGAGGTACTAGAAAGATGGAAAAGATATTTTGACGAGTTGAATGTTAGTAATAAAGAGGTGGTGGTGATTTCATGCATGGAACAGGGAGGTAGTGATTTCATGTATGGAACATGGAGGAATAACATCATATAGGAAAGAGAGAGAGAGAGGAAGAACTTGAGGGGAATGTTGGGAAAGTGTGTGAAGCAGTGGGTAGAAAGGAGGTAAATTTTAGCGGCTGGGATTAAGATGGGTTGTTAAAGCAGGTGGGAATGTAATGTTGGAGTGGTTGGTGTGTTTATTCAGTATATGCATGAAAGAAGAGGGTACCAAAGAATTGCCATAGAGCATGCATAATTCCTTGTACATATAAATGAATGCTAGGGTGTGTCTGCTGGTGATACTTCTAAAGAAAAGTTGCAAAGGTGATGAGGTAAAAGATTTAGGCAATGATAGATTGAATGGAGGGAAGGAATATGGAAGGAATATGTGGATGTATAGATATTTGGGAGTAGACAAGTCAGCAGATGGGTCTATGAAGGAAGAAGTGAACCATAGAATATATAAAAGAAAAAAAAAAAAAGTGAGTGGTGTGTTGAGGTATCTCTGGAAAGAAAGCTAATTAATGGAGGCAAGAAGAGAATGTACCAGTGTAGTGGTACTGGCACTTTTATATGGGGAAGAGGTGTGGGTTTTGAATGATGCAGTGAGGTACGTATCTTGTTTAGCAATGTACAGTGTGAATATCATGCAGAGAATTCAGAGTATATAAATTAAAAGGCAATGTGGGGTCATAAGGATATAATTAAGAGGGCTGAGGAGGGGTTGTTGAGGTGGTTTGGACATGTAGAGAGGGATAAGATAACTGTATAAATCTGTGGTGGAAGGTAGGTATAGGTGCTGGTGGAATGTGAGCAAGGCTACTTTTATGGAGTCAGGACTGTTTAGTTTTGGGAAGGTCAGTTCTTGCACTCTGAAGAAAGGGTGAGAATGTTGCAGTCAGAGGGTAATCTTAATTGTGATGTCAGCACACTTCTGAACAAATAGTAGTTAAATGAATAATAATGACTCGTGCCTTGGTAGGATACGGCCAGTGATTTAAAAACTTATCTATAATGTACCCTACTGTACTTGTACACTATTTTTTGCAAACTTGTCATTGTTAGTCTTACATCCTAGTAATTTCCTTGCAATAATTTATGGTTACAGAAGAGAACGTGAATTAGTAGCTGCAGATGAATATGCAGGATTTGTTGTGGCAGAGAAAGCAAAACATCTTGCTAAAGTTGCTGCTCGCAACCAAAGGAATAGACCTAAGAGACCTCGAAGTAAGTACTGTAGTTCAAGTTTGATTGGAGGTTTGCTTTGTTTTTTATCTTTTCATTGCTCATTTTTGTCTTTACAGGCCAATGACAATTAACTGCTGTGTTTTTTAAATTGAAAGAATTTAATGAAAAAAATAAAGATTTTAGAGTACAGATAATATATTAGGTAGTTTTTGCTATGTAAACATATGCATACATTGGTAAACAGTGGATTAACTTTCTCTGATTGTTTGCATTAATTGGCTTTTCCTTTGAGGCTATTTAAATTTACGTTCCATAAATGATGAGAAAATAATTTCGAAACTTTTTTGTAATTGTTTTTGCCTCCAAAAATTCCTTCCATTTCATTTGATCTAGTGTAATCTTCTGACTGCAAGGTACTATACCATAAAGTAGATACATGCTATGATTGACCTGTACCTTAAAACAATATTGACCTGAATTCTGGAATATTGCATGTACTTTTATGCCCTATACAGTTTGACATGGGATGACATGCATTGGTACAATGATACCTTGGAAAATGCACTTTTTGACCTTAACCATTAAAGAGACTCATGAAACCTCATTTCTCCAAAACTTTATTTTCCCTGGGAGGGATGAGATTCCTTTGCTAATATTGCATTTTACCATACATTAGAAGTAACCTTTCACTTTAGCCTAAACTTTACCTCACATTTAGTTTTATATTTTTTGCAAAACCTTGTACTGTATGTGCTTCTTAGGATGAGGATGAAAGCTTATAGCAGTAAGGCAGTAGATTTAATCCTGAACTCAACATCCATTTGAGTTTTGAGATTTGTTTTGTTGCTTAATCTGGGATTGATATATAATAATATGTCGCCTGTGGTGCATTTTTACCTCTGAGGTTACAGTGATCATATTTCTGCAAAACCCATGTTTTTACTTGCCACTTTGGCAGTACTTGAGTGATGATGCTCTTTGATGATGAGCACCTTTTGTATAATTAAACAATTAAAACATCTTTTATATTAAATTCCTAAATTTTTTTACCATAGACATCACCTGTAAAAGTTCTGTGTGCACAACATGTAACCCAGCACTTTTTTTCTTTTATAACACTGGCTCTTTCCCACTGATATATGGAGAAAAAGAGAGAGGTTAAGAGAGTGGTGAAGCAATGTAAAAAGAGAGCAAATGAGAGAGTGGGTGAGATGTTATCAACAAATTTTGTTGAAAATAAGAAAAAGTTTTGGAGTGAGATTAACAAGTTAAGAAAGCCTTGAGAACAAATGGATTTGTCAGTTAAAAATAGGAGAGGCGAGTTATTAAATGGAGAGTTAGAGGTATTGGGAAGATGGAGGGAATATTTTGAGGAATTGTTAAATGTTGATGAAGATAGGGAAGCTGTGATTTCGTGTATAGGGCAAGGAGGAATAACATCTTGTAGGAGTGAGGAAGAGCCAGTTGTGAGTGTGGGGGAAGTTCGTGAGGCAGTAGGTAAAATGAAAGGGGGTAAGGCAGCCGGGATTGATGGGATAAAGATAGAAATGTTAAAAGCAGGTGGGGATATAGTTTTGGAGTGGTTGGTGCAATTATTTAATAAATGTATGGAAGAGGGTAAGGTACCTAGGGATTGGCAGAGAGCATGCATAGTTCCTTTGTATAAAGGCAAAGGGGATAAAAGAGAGTGCAAAAATTATAGGGGGATAAGTCTGTTGAGTGTACCTGGTAAAGTGTATGGTAGAGTTATAATTGAAAGAATTAAGAGTAAGACGGAGAATAGGATAGCAGATGAACAAGGAGGCTTTAGGAAAGGTAGGGGGTGTGTGGACCAGGTGTTTACAGTGAAACATATAAGTGAACAATATTTAGATAAGGCTAAAGAGGTCTTTGTGGCATTTATGGATTTGGAAAAGGCGTATGACAGGGTGGATAAGGGGGCAATGTGGCAGATGTTGCAAGTGTATGGTGTAGGAGGTAGGTTACTGAAAGCAGTGAAGAGTTTTTACGAGGATAGTGAGGCTCAAGTTAGAGTATGTAGGAAAGAGGGAAATTTTTTCCCAGTAAAAGTAGGCCTTAGACAAGGATGTGTGATGTCACCGTGGTTGTTTAATATATTTATAGATGGGGTTGTAAGAGAAGTAAATGCGAGGGTCTTGGCAAGAGGCGTGGAGTTAAAAGATAAAGAATCACACACAAAGTGGGAGTTGTCACAGCTGCTCTTTGCTGATGACACTGTGCTCTTGGGAGATTCTGAAGAGAAGCTGCAGAGATTGGTGGATGAATTTGGTAGGGTGTGCAAAAGAAGAAAATTAAAGGTGAATACAGGAAAGAGTAAGGTTATGAGGATAACAAAAAGATTAGGTGATGAAAGATTGAATATCAGATTGGAGGGAGAGAGTATGGAGGAGGTGAACGTATTCAGATATTTGGGAGTGGACGTGTCAGCGGATGGGTCTATGAAAGATGAGGTGAATCATAGAATTGATGAGGGAAAAAGAGTGAGTGGTGCACTTAGGAGTCTGTGGAGACAAAGAACTTTGTCCTTGGAGGCAAAGAGGGGAATGTATGAGAGTATAGTTTTACCAATGCTCTTATATGGGTGTGAAGCGTGGGTGATGAATGTTGCAGCGAGGAGAAGGCTGGAGGCAGTGGAGATGTCATGTCTGAGGGCAATGTGTGGTGTGAATATAATGCAGAGAATTCGTAGTTTGGAAGTTAGGAGGAGGTGCGGGATTACCAAAACTGTTGTCCAGAGGGCTGAGGAAGGGTTGTTGAGGTGGTTCGGACATGTAGAGAGAATGGAGCGAAACAGAATGACTTCAAGAGTGTATCAGTCTGTAGTGGAAGGAAGGCGGGGTAGGGGTCGGCCTAGGAAGGGTTGGAGGGAGGGGGTAAAGGAGGTTTTGTGTGCGAGGGGCTTGGACTTCCAGCAGGCATGCGTGAGCGTGTTTGATAGGAGTGAATGGAGACAAATGGTTTTTAATACTTGACGTGCTGTTGGAGTGTGAGCAAAGTAACATTTATGAAGGGATTCAGGGAAACCGGCAGGCCGGACTTGAGTCCTGGAGATGGGAAGTACAGTGCCTGCACTCTGAAGGAGGGGTGTTAATGTTGCAGTTTAAAAACTGTAGTGTAAAGCACCCTTCTGGCAAGACAGTGATGGAGTGAATGATGGTGAAAGTTTTTCTTTTTCGGGCCACCCTGCCTTGGTGGGAATCGGCCAGTGTGATAATAAAAAAAATAAAAAATATAAGGTGTGAGACATCAGTATTCCTGAGAAATATAATGGGTAAAGGAATAGAAAGGATAATGAAAGACCTCAAGAACACTGAATTTCTGAGCTTCGCTAGAAAAAGATGAAAGGAAAAAAAGTAAAATTTGCAGAGCACTTTGACATACGAATTCATTAAGACTAGTGAAATCATAACATGATTGTAAACAAATCACAGAACAGGGGCTTAAAACCATGGACTCATCTGCTGTGGATTCATGCCCCACCTGTTTCATGTTTTGAGATCATTCAGCACTGTCATTAAGCTATGCTTTGTACATGCAAGATTAGCAAACCTGAAAAGGGCATTCAGACTGGTCATTGAGTATGCAGTGCCAGGATGAAGTGGGCCCATGCCCAGTCAAGCAGGTGCAAAAACTTGAAGAGTCCCCATCTAGTATCAGAACTGAGGAATGCACCTGAGAACCTTTGACAGAGAAGACAAGGGGGGACATGATCACTACACATGAAATCCTCAGAGGAATTGATAACACAGATAGGGGCAGACTGTATAGAGGGGACCAGGATCAAGGAGACACAGGTGAAAGCTGAAGACAGATGAGCAATAGGAATGTAAGGAAGTATTTCTTTAGTCTGAGGATGGGAAGTGACAGAGGCAAACTCAATACATAACTTCAAGAGATATATGATAAGGCCAAAGGGGTTGGAAATCAGTGATGCTGATCCAAGTAGTCTAGGAGGCAGAGTATCAAGCCTTCACAAACACAAATTGGTAATTACACTTATAGTAGAAGCTGATGTCCCTCAAAAATTAAAATCAGTCATACCAATAAGCACAAGAAAAATAAAAAAAACACTAAAGTTAAAATATTCCTTGATTAATTAAAAATACATTCAATCTTTAATAATAGACTCGTCTAAAGTTGAAAAGGCTGAAGCAATGGACAAACAGTTGAAATGTGTTCCACTGCTGTCAGCACATCACATGTCAGAGAAGGGTAGGAGCACCTGCAAGGAGGTGGCAGTGGGTATGGTGTGTGTGTTTACCCTATTCTTAATCTATAAAGACTAAATATGGGCAGACTGCAACTGCAAGAAAAAAAAACTGACACGGTTACATGTGTTAGTTCAGAGTTATTCTGGTGATATTTTTATGCACCTTAGTACAGCTATCATATTTCTAAGGTGTTTGTGTGTGCTTGGGATATTCCATCTTGCCATTAGAAATTTTAGCCTGTAGTTTTCACAAAGTCATCTTTTCCATGAGTTGTACCAATACAAGATTAATTGTAATTTTTTAAGGTTAAGTACTTTAGTGTTTTCTTTAGTTTCTCTCTATTATGTATCTACATTATAAATCAGTGACCTACCTGAAATAGCTTGGTATGTCTTCTCACAGCGACCAAATCGCACAAGCGTGTACAGGCCATGACTTACGCTCAGGCTGAACTTCTAGTCAATGTTGATCCTGAAATCCGCTCCAATAGCCTTCCCTCAGGTGTTCAGCCACCCGAGGGAAAGAAGAAAGGCAAGTGTAATGAGCTTGCCTCAGAAAGTTAAATTAGACATCTCTTACCTGCTAACAGAAACTATTACTGTATATAGTATTCATGGGAGTAAAAACCCATAGGGTTCGTACAGTGCCTGGGACAAGGGGAGGCACAGGTTCGATCCAGGGAAAGGGAGGATAGGTCCAATTCCTTGGATCAAGAGCCCCTTACTGGCATGCAGGTACCTCCCTTGAGGGGATTATTGTATATAGAGTTGGGTATGGTGATGGTTGTACTTGCACAGCTTTGACAATTGATGCTTTATGAAACTTAGTGAGCAGTTACTTTTAGATGGTAAAATGAAAACTTCATAAGCATGAGTCGTGTACGTAACAGACTTAGTAATATTGGTAACCAAAATTCATCAGTTTCTTTTTCCCTCCAGATGGCTTATTTTCTTAACAAACTGGTTACTGGATAGTATTCATTTAATAAACTATGACTACCAGGTTTGGTGGTGGTTTACCAATAATGCTAGCTTTACTTAATTTATATGCTGTTAATGTTTAATATTTGCTCATATTTTACTTGTGTTTCTATTTTGTGTGTGATTTTAGTTATTAAAAATTAATAACTAATTGAATCTTGCTTCATGGCACTATAAAATTATTTTATATATGCAATTTTGAATGAACACATGTAGTATATGGTTTTTGACAAAATTTGTTCTTTATTTTATGTCTGCCAGGACTTGATTATTAATTTGAACTCTACTTAAACTTCCTACTTCTACATTTTTAGGTTTATGGTTCAGTTTTGGAGGTCACAAAAAAGGAAGAGGATCTGGACGAAATGCGACACAAATACAGCACCATCCAGTATGAGGATTAGCATTGAGTGTGAAATCTCATGATGAGGGCTGAAGGTCATTAGCTTTAAAGCTATTTAAACACTAATTTTCCAGTCACTGACATTTAAGTGTATGAAAGTGATTTTGGTTTTGTGTGTACTTTTCATTGATCTTAAGACTCAACAGTGATGTTGAGATAAAGATACTACTACTACTGTGATTGTGTTATAAGGTATGGTAATTCCTTTTCATATCTCTGCACACTGGAAGATGTGCTCACTCCATTTTGTGAATGATGCACATTTAACCAAAGCTGAAATGTTTAATCATGAATATGTTTTGAGGATATTTTGAAGTATATGATAAAACTGACGATAGATTGGAAGAGTCTAGTCATCCTTTGAATGTTCTATAAGCAGTCTGGAATTTGATTTGATGAATGAAGTGAAAGGTCAAACTTTTCATGTAATTTATGTAACTTGGATGAAATAATTAGTTTGCCACCTGCTGGTTTAGGTTGCAACAAATATCTTGCCATGAAATTTTCTGTTTATAAATTTGCATTCTACAAAATAAAAGGAGCGTGCGTTGTCACTAGGTAGGGTTTTATAACGTGCCATTTTTTTTTTTATCTGGATATAAAAATGCAGGTGTTTAGAAAATATAATGATTAGATTAATCACAATGTGGCCTCTGTGTTGACAATTAAGTCTAGTTTCACTCAATGTTGTAGTTATTTTTCCCATTTAATGTATTAATACTCAGGTTCATCATCGAATATTTAGCCATTTGATGTTAAAAAAACAAAAAAAAAAAAAATCAACTAAGTTGTATTGACCTGAACCAATGTCAGCTGTATGTGCCTAGTATCAGGTTTGTGCTGTTTCTTAATACTATGTAGAGGTGTTCAGCTGAATTCTGTAAGTTAAAGATCACTCTCAACCAAATAATTGTTACATTAATAATGTGGCATATATCTCAATTGAGTACCTTACCCTGAAGCTTGATATCTTAATAATTACTGTAAGACCATCAGACATTTGTATGATCTTTTAGTAATTGTGTATATTATTTAACCTTGTTTTCTATTAAATCTTTGTACAGTGATGAATATATGTAATTGTTGTAAAAATGTACATAGATAAACTCCTCTTTCAGTGACATTTTTTTTAATCCAGTTTCTAGATTTTTATTTTAACATTATAATCAAGGGGGAAGCACTAAACCCATAGGATTATACAACTCCTGGGGGGAGGATGGATGTGGAAGGTATTCAGGTAACTGGAGCACAGATCCAATATTTTAACTGATAATGTGTAGTAAGGAATAGAGATATTCATGCATCCCTTCCAAGGTGACATCTTGATGTTATTGAAACTATTCTTTTCCCAATTCTCAGGTGTTGTAAGACCCCTAAGGATTTAGTGCTGCTCCATGATTACAATATATTCATGGTGAGCACTATACCCTCAAGGGTTATACTCCACTAAAAGTAATGGGGAGGGGTGAACAAGTTTCAAGGATGGACCCCTCAAGGAAGGTTCCTTTATGTTGGTGAGGGGCTCTTGATTTAGGGAATTGGATCTGTGCTCCAGTTCCCCAAATTAAGCCTGAATGCCTTCCACATCCCCACCCCCCCAGGCGCTGTATAATCCTCCGGGTTTAGCGCTTCCCCCTTGATTATAATAATAATAATAATAATTCAAGGATGGAGAGGATAGCTCCAATTACTTGGATCAAATCCCCTCCATATTTTAAATAAAGAAAATAGGAAAGGAGCCAGTTTAGTGTCTCAATACAGATGGCAGGAGGCAGAGTACAATGCAGTAGTACTGAATCTTGAGACAAGGCACCAAAGATAAATCTGATCAATTGATCTAATATAAAGTTAGTTCAGTACAGTGCGAGAGATTTCATACAATTGTGCAGTGTAAGCATTTATTAACTGATAATTTCAAACCTAAAATATATAATCAAAATATACAATCAACATGACTAAGACATATGCAACACTTGGGTACCTTTACTGTGGAGATGTTTTACCTACCAATGGCTTTATTAATCCAATACAGAAAATAGTACTAGAGATTTATAGTACTGAACATTTATAAATTTGTTGAGTCAATGGAAGCAGTTTAAGGTGATCAGGGCTTAAGTCTTGAATCATTTAGCAAGATTGATGCATTGATCACCTCGCACTACTACACGTCTTCCATTATCTCTAGGAGGTTCATCTAAGCTGAGGGACTGGTCACCTTAATCTACCTCTTCATGTCTTCTACTTTGTACAGTATTATTCTCTGAATTGGACTGATGAAGCCAATGGTTGCCTAAGCATCACCATAAAGATAACTAAAACGTGTGAACATTTGGGTATCAAATTGTCAGATTTCTAAACTATTAATACATAATATACAAAGAGTTCACACAAACCTTGAACAAATAGAATTTTAAATTTTTCAACAAAAATTTTCCATATGTATTCTTAAAAATTTTTCATGCATTAAAAACATATCTGAATAAAATTTAAATAAATATATAACAATACAAATATTAATAGACTGCATACTAGATATGTCCAATAAAAGATGCTCTTAAAACTTACAGTATTGGCTAACAATCACTTCTAAATTCTTCACTTCTAAACTCTAATAACAAAAGGGAAAAAAAATTTTATCCTAAAAAAAAAAAAAAAAAATTCGGTGCATTTCATGAGATAAATTGTAATTGTGCCAGTATTTAAAAAAGAGGATAGGGAATATCCTTTAAATTATACATCTGTCTTGCTGGCAACTATAAAACAATAAAAGCCTGAAGGCTCTTATAAAAGATGAGGGGTTTTCCGTTTGAAAACTATGTCCTCAAGTTGAAATGGGGTCCTACAAGGATCAATATTTCCCTTAAAAAAATTGTGAATAAGTGATTTGCCAGAAAAATAAAAACTGCATGTATATATTCATGGGTGATGCAAAAATTTTCTAAAATAAGTAATAAAAATTACTATACATATTAACATAAGAATAATGAGATAAGCTGAGCAAATGGAGCGACAGATGGATGATGGAATTTAATGTAAACAAGTGCTAAACAACAAAAAAAAAAAAAGAAGAAAAATGTCACATGTGTATTTTTGCTATTACATTCATAAGAGGAGTGCTAACCCCATAAGGGTTGTACAGTACCTGGGGAAATGGAAGGAAAAATGATTCAAGGAAAGGGAGGATAGGTCCAGTTCCTTGGATGAATGTATTGTAATAATAATAATAGGAATAATTATAGATGTAAGACAGTCACCAAAAGACCACATACAGCACAGTATATACTTCATATTTACACTTGTATACAATGGTGTTAACAATTCAGAATCGCCAATTCAGTGCTATGCTGTATTTCAAATATCAGGATAGTAGTGTAGTATACACAACTGCTCTGCCAATTTACATACCCATGTTCATAATTTTTCCACCTAGTACTGGTAACTTAAAATGAACCTTGCTAAAAACAACTGACTCCTGGTATTAGCACTGCACAAAATAAGAATGACAATTCACAAAAACCTACAATTAGGAAACTTGAGATGTTTTAGTCTATTCTGGACCAATCGTTACGTTTCTCAAGTGCAGGTTATTTGTCAATTGTTCCAGCCATGTCATTGTGACTTATTCAACAGAATTACTGATTACTACCAATTGATCCCAGGTATCAGTAATACACATGACCAGAATGACACCTTATTACTATCTGATTCCAGGTTTCAGAATAGCACATCAGAATGATACCTTACTACATCTGATCCCTGGCATTAGTACTGCACATAAAATGACACCTTACTACTTTTTAATTCTAGGTATCAGTATGGCACATGACTAGAATGACACCTTATTACTATCTGATCCCAGGTGTCAGTATAACTCATGACCAGAATGACACCTTACTCTCATCAAGGTTTAGCTTTATGTTCAACTTATTAATATATATCACTTATAACTGGAAGACATTATGGCTTCAGCTAATTACAAATGAACTAAAAAGGTTTGCCAGGCCATACAAATAATGTTGTTGATAATACCAGACTTTGCGTCAAAATTTCTTCAAACCTTAGATTTTGCAAACCAATAACAAATATTTTAAAACTAAGTTAACACGATAACCAATCATTCTTATTTATTATACAGGCATTTAAAACTTAAGGACTAAATGTGTACGGAACATGTGGTGCTGCAAGTAGAGGTGTGCAAGGGTGGTAGTTAGTGAAGAAAGGTGTTTAATGTGAGTGCAAAGTTGAAGTCAAAAGATGTTGCAATCTGTTTCTGTCAAGTGTCATTGAGTTAGTCTATGTTAAAAATTGCTTTTATAGAGACAAGATTAGTGCTTCAATGCATGGCAGAGGTCAGAAATGAACTCTACTTCTCTGATAGACAAGACAATCTATTAAGATATGATGAGCTGATAGTGCAACCTGGCAACTATAACCAGCTTTTAGAAAAGCTATGCAAGACTTTCATGACATTAAATGATCAAAGAGAAGGCCAAGAAATTTGATAGTATCTCATTCATGGATATGGGAACCATATAGATAGAGTGGGATGAGAGATAATAGGGCATCACTTGAACATTATCCAATTTGTTATTTATGTCAGGAAGAAAGTGGTGCTAAAGACACAGCTGAGAAATTATGGACGTAAGTAGTGAAGAAAATTAAGGGGTCAATGACAGAATGGCACTTTGCTAAACCAAAGTGGTGAGGTGAGGAGAGTTTTGGGTTTCCAAGTATTACACGAAATATTTGTTAACTAAGCCATGCGTGTTGTAAGAGGCGACTAAAATGCCAGGAGCAAGGGGCTAGTAACCCCTTCTCCCGTACAAATTACTAAATTAAAAAAAAAAAAAAACTTTCGTTTTTCTTTTTGGGCCATCCTGCCTTAGTGGGATATGGCCGGTTTGTTGGAAAAAAAAAAATTGTTAACTAAGCATTCCAGCAACTTACAAAAAGTACTGTTATGCCATGGAGGGAAGTCAGTTCTATGCTCAAGGTAAAGTGATTGTCAAGAGTTACCAAGGAGAAGGGTTAAGTAGAAAGATGGTAATGGGTTTGATCAATAAATAAGTGCCCTCATGGAATTCTGGGTTCTAAGGAAGATCCATGGCTATGAAAGTCACTAAAGGGTGTCATAGTCAATAACTACTGTATATAATTAAGAATACAAACACCATCAGTACCTATCAATAGAAAGTCTGATATGTACTTATAAATAATAAGATTAATAGAAATGACAATAATAATGAAGACACTGCAAATATTAATTTCATAATCATGCATGAATTTAGCTTCTGTAAATTTTTTCTGATTTACAAAATCCAACATCCTATTTGAGCCAATGTTTTGTTCAGAAAACAATCACCACCCACAGAAACAATATTAATTACACTGAGTGATCAAAGGGAAAACCATCACTGTTAAACCCACCATTCTCTACTGGTTCAACTTTTCATCCATTATATTAAGAATTGAATGAGAGAGATGCACTGTACTCTTATTTCACATTGCAAAGTTAAGTCTTACATTCAATGTCGTTTCTCCAATAATTCAGCGAGCAAAACCATCATGTATTAATTTTACTGTATTATCTACTAACACTATAACATGTATGTTTATATCTTACATATGCTACTCTAGTCTACTTGTGATATGGCTGATTTTTTATACATTAACAGGAATTATCCCTCTTGCACACCAACTAACCAATACATCCCATTACATCACACAAAGTACAGCATTCCATATTCTGCATATATATGCACTTCCTTAGATAAAATATACCTATAACAATACACTGCACCTTTACATTTTATTCCAAGACAATTTTTTTTTATCTATGTATATAGATTTTGGTTTGCAGAAAAATCTTACAACACCAAGTATAATCATTCAATGAATCCTCTTTAAAATATATTTACTAACACAATACAAAACATTCTTACTATCATTCATAATATCTAACTATTGTATATGCATTATCATTATAGTTTGGAAAAAAAAGTAAAAAAGAAAACTGAGCATAATCAAAATTGATTTAGAAATGTATTTTCTTAACTGAATTTTTGTCTATGGATTTTAAAAGCTATAACACTGATTGGGTACTATTACTTTGGATGGGCTTGTTCTACATATTCCTGATATTACCAAATGATTTTATCTATAAATCACAAACTAGAAGCGGTGCATTGGTTCTCCATATTCTAATAATGAAGCTGTAGACAACATTAAAGATCATCCGTAAGATGTTAATGTTTAAAACACACTTAATGCAGCAAGGTGTTTATAATATTACTGATAAAAAAATTAATAGAAATAATAACACTAAGATGCAACTAAAATGCTGGGAGCAAGGGGTTAGTAATCCCTTCTGTATAAATTACTAAATTTAAAAAGAAAAACTTTTCTTTTTAGGTCACCCTGCCTCGATGAGATGCGGCTGGTGTGTTGAAACAACTGACAAAGATACTGCATATATTACCAACATTAATCACAATTACAAATGGCTAGCTTTTGTATCTCATGATTCTGGTTTACAACATCCAGCATCATGTCTTAGCCAATGTTTCATACAGAAGACCTCACTTCATTGAGTGTCTATTTATCATCTGCCAGTGTTATACCTTTCCGGATATAAAAATATCGAAATAAGCCAAGTGGTAATCCACAAACAGCACTTCTAAAAAAAATCAATGAAAAGTAGCTTTGGAGTAATTTTTAAATGTGCTTGTTGGCTTTTCTTTCAATGCTTTTTCATTATCCCAAGCTGACATATTTAAGATATGAATGTCGCCCTTAACATACACAACAAAAGCTTCTTAGAAGACCAATGAAATAATAATTATATTTCATATAGAGGATATGAATCAAATTTTTGAATAAATCAAAACACTGCCAGGCTTATTCATCATGTTAATATAGCATTATCAGTAGGAAGCACTTCTCTCTATGGAACACACACAGATGAAGCATGTATATACGTGTATGTATACGTATATGCACGGGGAATAAAACGAGTATTACTGGATAAAACTGTATCCAGAGGGTGGATAGGAGTTTCATGAGCCAACAGATTTGCAATGAGGGGAAGTGACCATGAATAAAGACAGAAAACATAAACGATACTTGAGAATGGGAGGGTTTACAAGATTTGACAGAAACCATTAGCTGAATAACATGCTTCTCTTCCCCCTCCATTTTTGCTAAGGGTGCTTCAAACGTGTGGTTATTAGCACAACTTGACTTTCATACGAATTCCTTGAGCATATATATATCTTTGATATACCTTTGATGAGTTCTGAGAGTTGAGTTATGCTCTCCCATAGTTTGAACTCTTGTCTACCCTAGCTTGGGTGCCATCCTTGAGTGCCCATAGGGAAAATTATTTTAGAAGATATAACTACAAATTTTGAACTACAGATACCAGAAATTACTAATTACCTTTGCCTCTTCAAAGAACAAGAAAAAATATACCAGTGCTTACAAAGATTTTTAGAATAACTGGCTTTTACTAATCATGAAAAAACAGTAAAAATTATGTCCAATTAAGATACAATCAATATGCTAAGGAAAAAAAAAAGCAATGAACTATAAACTCAAGTAGTAAATATAAGAGTTTGAGGCTGCACAAAATAAACAAAGGCAAATACATATAATATATAAAATTAATCAAGATACAACAAATAAATATATAGAAATTCAAAGAAGGGAGGCAGATCATATAAATCAGAGATGAATGAAAGCCAAGTAATGTTGACTAAGGACCAGAACAGATAATATCAATCAATCACAAGTTACTGAAAGTGTCAAAACTGAAGAAAAGGTTACTGTGCCAAGAAAACTTAAAAAAGAAATTAAAAATGAAGACAAACAGAGCAGCTAATGAAGTTGTTTATAACAACATGAACAAGGTTGGAATATGCAGCAATAATGTGGTATACATGACTAAAAAATAAAAAATATTATAGATATACAGGTCTCCCTCAACATTCACAAATTCCCAGCAGCCCAATCATATTTAACATACGTCATTATATATGTTAGGAATTGTGGCGGTGGCAGAGTTTGTTTGGAGATAGGACGTGATAGTCCTTCAATATGACACTAATATCAACTCTACGGCTTATTTATCTATCACAATTCATCTAATATGACATGATAAACAATACATATTAATAACATAGAAACATGGCATATTCTCTAGAATGAATAAAATACGTCATTAAGTATGTCACGAGTGTTGCTATGTTGTTGTTGATGTTGGATGTATAAGGGCCATTGAGAGCATAAGCCTTACATGGTGGTGGTGATGGCAGCAGCTGAGGTGGTAGAGGCGGCAGTGTTGTCAGTTTCCCTATATAATTCCAACAACATTGGAGGAGTTAGGTTCGTGCCGTCCTTTTTCTATCAATTAATTGCTTAACTTACTTGCTACACTGTTAATGCTATACTTTATCGCTGGCTGGCGCTATAGCCTTTATAGACTCGTGCTGCTTTAGTATCGTACATATTGTAGAATCACTGAAGAAGGCACATTCTCCCCTCTCTTTTCCTCCTCCACTTTGGTACTCTGCTACGAGTTCTTTCTTGAATTCTATAATCTTTCTCTTCTTCTTTACCAAAGGGCTGGCACTAGTACAATATTTTATGATGTTTTCATGTGTTTTATGATTGTTCATGGTTCAATAGGTTAAGGAAGCAGTATTGTTAGGCTAAGTAAATGCTATTATTATATTTCCCTACAATATATTTGTGCACCAAACATTCGCGATTTTTCAACATTCACGAGGTTCTTGATCCCCTAACCCTTGCGAATGTGGAGGGAAACCTGTAATCCAAAAAAATGTTACAAAATGGTTCCCAAATTTAAGAATTTTAGTTAAAAAAAAAGCCCTCATTAATTAATAGTAAGAAAAGAGGAGACATGATAACCATATATTTATAAGATTATAAAAGGATTTGAGAAAACAATTTAAGATTTCACAGTACCAATACTGTCCAACTGCCTCCCAGCATACATAAGGGGGGTTACCAATAGATCCCTGGCTGTCTTCAAGAGGGAGCTGGACAGGCACCGAAAGTCAGTACCTGACCAGCCAGGCTGTGGTTCATACATTGGTTTGTGTGCAGAAAGCAGTAACAGCCTGGTTGATCAGGTCCTGATCTGCTGTGAGGCCTGGTGATGGACCAGGCAGTTGGGGCATTTGCCCCTGAAACACCTTCCAGGTATACCATCAACACAAAGAAGAGGCCACAAATGAAGAGTGAGAAAAACACTGCTTAGGAAATACTATACAGTCTGTCTTCACAAACAGATTGGTAGAATACTAAAATTACATCCAAGAGGAAGAGGTACTAGAGAATGTGCTACAACCACTGGTAAAAGAACAAATGCTATGACAATTTAAACACAGAAGACAGGACATCATAAGAATAGCTCTGCTCCTGTAACTAAAATAAATAATCACACTCACATACACAGGTCAAGAAGCCAGAACCAGGCCCTCACAAACTCTGCTAGGCAAATGCAAAAGTTCATGCTAACAGTAGTATGATTGAGGAAAATTTAACTGCTTGCATAAACATATTCCTTTCCTCATCAATGGCCAGAGTACATCACTGGACACAGTCATATGCCGTACTCATAGAATATTTTGTACTATGCCTTACTGTATAAATCTACTTCAATTATCATGTCACCAATAAATCCCTCACATCTAGAAAAATCAAAACTTCACAAATTTGAAATAAGTAGTAGACAACGTTTAGGTTCATCCTGGATCATTATTATATCATCATAAATGAAGAAGTCTGTTATGAATCAATATCACATAAGTTGAGGAAGAACACAGTGAAAGCCAGTAGTAACAGCAATAAGAGATTTATACTGGTCCTAATATGAATTTGATGACATAAATCAGCTTATTGAAAATATACAGACACTCGTATGCTACTGTACAATGCATTGTCACGATATCTGGAAGCACTTGTTAGTGAGGTATTAAAAGCTATATCTATAGTAATAAATTTCTCTTTAAAAACTTAACATTGTGTGGAAATATATGTCCTAAGTAAAATACTATCCTATATAATTTTTTCTAGAAAATGTTAGTAAGAAATACATTATAAATATACACCTAATTCAAGCTATATTTACCTACTTTTATTGAACTGGCTTTTTCAGTATTCCAAAATTCTTCCGAAGCTGCTCAAACAAAATAAATGTAATGATTGTATGTGGTCCCAGACGCACAAAGGCAGGTATATATCCCTGAAAGAAAATTAAACATTAATTACAGCTTACATATATTCTATATAAGCTTAATCTCTACAGTGAAAATCTTTCAAAATTTTTCCAATTTAAGAAATGAATTCTTAGGTCATCCATTTGTGAAGTCTATGATTTTCAGACGATGACCTCACATTAAAGATTTTTTTATTAAACAAATAAATATACAAATAAATAAACATACAAATAAATATATACGAGTGTGAAAAGTGGAGGAGGCTGGAGGCAGTGGAGATGTCGTGTCTGAGGGCAATGTGTGGTGTAAATATTATGCAGAGAATTCGTAGCTTGGAGATCAGGAGGTGCAAGGTTACTAAAAGTATTACTCAGAGGGCTGAGGACAGGCTGTCGAGTTGGTTTGGACATTAGAGAAGCTGGAGAAAAATAAGATGACTTGGAGGGTGTATACGTATATCTGTAGTGGAGGGAAGGAAGGTTGGAGGGAGGGGGGTAAAGAAGTTTTGTGGGCAAGGGGTTTGGATATCCAGCACGGAAGTGTGTGTGTTAAGATAAAAGTGAGTGGAAGGAAATCATTTTTGTGACTTGAGATATTGGACTATAAGCAAGGTTCCATTTTGTGAAGGGATTCAAGGTAACTGGTTAGCCAGATTTCAGTCCCAGAGGTGGGAAGTACAATCCCTGCAATCTGAAAGAGGAGTGGTGAGATTTGCAGCTTGGAGGGTCATCTGAACTGTAGTATCGGCATGCCTCAGGCAAGACAGTGATAGAGTGGATGATGATGAAAGTGCTCCTCGACTTACGAAGGGGTTATATTCCGTCAAACCCATCGTAAGTCAAAAATGTTGGAAGTCGAATATATATATATATGCTAAATAAATAAATAAATAACTACTGTCACTGAATAAGTAAATAAACAAATAATTACTCTAAATACCAGTACTGAAAAGTAAATAGATGCATACAAGTTATGGACTTGCCACCTTCATGATGGGTAATTATCTTAAGTTTCATTTCCAAAGTAATTGCTTTGCACCATCATAAAGTTGAAATATGGTAGACCTCGAGTAATAATAAGTTAGTTACATTCCTGAAAACTCAGTGCAAGACAACCCATGTAAAACAAACCGAAGAACTCATGGGAAAAATAGGGTTATGTTCCTGGGAACCCCAAAAATGGCAAACAAAGTTTTTTTTCAGGTCTCTAAATTGTAAAAGAACAAAAATGATAATGTAACTGTAGTTCACTGTCGTGATGCATTGCTTAATGCATTACTTAAATAATATTTCTTACCTTATATTGTGGTTACTGGTATATGTCAGTGAGTCTGAACAGAGTGGAGAGGGATGGTATGGCCTTACTGGGCAAAAGTGAAATGCTGTGAATTATTTGCTGAGGTGGATAGTTGAGGCTTTGGCACTAAAGTCAGTGGTTGCACCGGAGTACTCAGAAATTCTATACAATCATCTGCTATCACTTGCATATATCAGTAAAAAATACCCTATTTTACCAGCTAAGACACGATTTCTCACTAAATGTAATACCCACCATACCGCAAGCTATCCAAGAAAACATGAAAAAATTAATTTCACGAGAAAAGCTTTTCAAGGCTATCGGCATGTGTTATTGTTAGGTTGAAGGTTGTGATGGTCCCAAGGCCGTTGTATCTCTCACAACTGCGAAATTAACTACCAGAATGCTTTTGCAAATATGAACTATTTATTACATAATAAATTTATTACAATAAAGGAATATAAAAAAATTACCATTTCCCTTGCATTTTCAATAATAAATATATTAGTATAAGGAAGGGTGGGTTGAAGGGATGCTCACAGGCTGTTAGCCCTCAACCCCAACAACTAACTCTCATACACATCCTAAAACAAACAATATATAAAGTAATATGTATACCATTCCATCCAGGCTCTGTCACTTTTAACCTTCACTATGAAAAGGGGAAAGATAAGCAGGGGGCATATAACACTAGAAGGGTCCCCTTACATATAGAGGTGCAGTTTGGGTCTGCCCAGGTACACATACATGGTGTAAATTACATAGGATAACCCCCCAAAAATTAAAAACAATGTGACTTACTAATATGAAAACACTGCATGTACTGACTGGATGCAGGAATCAACTAATTTAATCACAAACACAGATCTGAAAATCATATGGGGACACGTATTTATGGACCAACGAGAGGTGAGACAGGGAAGGCAGGAGAGGAAGCTAGATCTCCCCCCACAAGACAATGACAACCACAGTTAGGCTGCCCACAAGTCCACTAGATGGAGGGGAAAAAATCCCGTGGTCCAGCTCACGGCATTCAAATTTTTTCCCCAGAAGTGACACCATGTTAGTCAAATTTTACAGGGTGTTAGTCAAAAGTATGCCACAATTTTGCAATAGTGTAATGGAGAGAAAACAGTCAAGGAACACATGTTAATTGATGGTCTACTGTATCAGTAAATAGAGGAGCTCCTGTACATAAACACAAAAACACTCGCTCACAAATAATAACTAGTGGCTTCCCCTTTAAAAAATGTAAGGATAGTAGGCACATTCTGTTTAGAAACTACAGAATTCATGGTTGTATATAGTGCTGATGATTTCCTTGATGATGCCAAATAAGCTTAAGCTTACCTTGAAAAATCCAAGTGGACCCACTTTTGCTGTGTATGTAATTATGTGCCACAAACCCTAGAAGAAAATAACAAGACATAATTAAAATTATATCATACAGAATCTAACTTTTTTTTTAAGTACTATACTAAATACAGTGGTTACCTCGAGTTTCGTACAGCTCCCAACTCGAACAATTATGTAAGTGTATTATCGTAAGTGCTTTTGTAAGTGTATTTTTGGGGGTCTGAAACGGACTAATCTAATTTACATTATTCCTTATGGGAACAAATTCCCTTCGGTAAAGCACTCGAACAGCCTTCTGGAACGAATTATGTATACGAAACTCAGGGTACGACTGATTTATACAAATAATTTTTTTTTACCTTACACAATACTACTATTATTCTTTATGTTACATCCTACCCTGTCTCAACCAGAGATACAAAAGAATATGAATGTGTAAATTCAAGAATTATGTGGATTAAAGTAAAGGTTGGATGCGAGAAGTGGGTCATAATAACGTGTATGCACCTGGAGAAGAGAGGAATGCAGAGGAGAGAGAGAGATTTTGGGAGATGTTAAGTGAATGTATAGGAGCCTTTGAACCAATGGAGAGAGTAATTGTGGTAGGGGACCTGAATGCTAAAGTAGGAGAAACTTTTAGAGAGGGTGTGGTAGGTAAGTTTGGGGTGCCAGGTGTAAATGATAATGGGAGCCCTTTGATTGAACTTTGTATAGAAAGGGGTTTAGTTATAGGTAATACATATTTTAAGAAAAAGAGGATAAATAAGTATACAAGATATGATGTAGGGCGAAATGACAGTAGTTTGTTGGATTATGTATTGGTAGATAAAAGACTGTTGAGTAGACTTCAGGATGTACATGTTTATAGAGGGGCCACAGATATATCAGATCACTTTCTAGTTGTAGCTACACTGAGAGTAAAAGGTAGATGGGATACAAGGAGAATAGAAGCATCAGGGAAGAGAGAGGTGAAGGTTTATAAACTAAAAGAGGAGGCAGTTAGGGTAAGATATAAACAGCTATTGGAGGATAGATGGGCTAATGAGAGCACAGGCAATGGGGTCGAAGAGGTATGGGGTAGGTTTAAAAATGTAGTGTTAGAGTGTTCAGCAGAAGTTTGTAGTTACAGGAAAGTGGGTGCAGAGGGAAGAGGAGCGATTGGTGGAATGATGATGTAAAGAGAGTAGTAAGGGAGAAAAAGTTAGCATATGAGAAGTTTTTACAAAGTAGAAGTGATGCAAGGAGGGAAGAGTAATATGGAGAAAAAGAGAGAGGTTAAGAGAGTGGTGAAGCAATGTAAAAAGAGAGCAAATGAGAGAGTGGGTGAGATGTTATCAACAAATTTTGTTGAAAATAAGAAAAAGTTTTGGAGTGAGATTAACAAGTTAAGGAAGCCTAGAGAACAAATGGATTTGTCAGTTAAAAATAGGAGAGGAGAGTTATTAAATGGAGAGTTAGAGGTATTGGGAAGATGGAGGGAATATTTTGAGGAATTGTTAAATGTTGATGAAGATAGGGAAGCTGTGATTTCGTGTATAGGGCAAGGAGGAATAACATCTTGTAGGAGTGAGGAAGAGCCAGTTGTGAGTGTGGGGGAAGTTCGTGAGGCAGTAGGTAAAATGAAAGGGTGTAAGGCAGCCGGGATTGATGGGATAAAGATAGAAATGTTAAAAGCAGGTGGGGATATAGTTTTGGAGTGGTTGGTGCAATTATTTAATAAATGTATGGAAGAGGGTAAGGTACCTAGGGATTGGCAGAGAGCATGCATAGTTCCTTTGTATAAAGGCAAAGGGGATAAAAGAGAGTGCAAAAATTATAGGGGGATAAGTCTGTTGAGTATACCTGGTAAAGTGTATGGTAGAGTTATAATTGAAAGAATTAAGAGTAAGACGGAGAATAGATAGCAGATGAACAAGGAGGCTTTAGGAAAGGCAGGGGGTGTGTGGACCAGGTGTTTACAGTGAAACATGTAAGTGAACAGTATTTAGATAAGGCTAAAGAGGTCTTTGTGGCATTTATGGATTTGGAAAAGGCGTATGACAGGGTGGATAGGGGGCAATGTGGCAGATGTTGCAAGTGTATGGTGTAGGAGGTAGTTACTGAAAGCAGTGAAGAGTTTTATTGAGGATAGTGAGGCTCAAGTTAGTAGTATTGTAGGAAAAAGGGAAATTTTTTCCCAGTAAAAGTAGGCCTTAGACAAGGATTGTGATGTCACCCGTGTTGTTTAATATATTTATAGATGGGGTTGTAAGAGAAGTAAATGCGAGGGTCTTGGCAAGAGTGTGGAGTTAAAAAATAAAGAATCACACACAAAGTGGGAGTTGTCACAGCTGCTCTTTGCTGATGACACTGTGCTCTTGGGAGATTCTGAAGAGAAGTTGCAGAGATTGGTGGATGAATTTGGTAGGGTGTGCAAAAGAAGAAAAATTAAAGGTGAATACAGGAAAGAGTAAGGTTATGAGGATAACAAAAAGATTAGGTGATGAAAGATTGAATATCGATTGGAGGGAGAGAGTATGGAGGAGGTGAACGTATTCAGATATCTGGGAGTGGACGTGTCAGTGGATGGTCTATGAAAGATGAGGTGAATCATAGAATTGATGAGGGAAAAGAGTGAGTGGTGCACTTAGGAGTCTGTGGAGACAAAGAACTTTGTCCTTGGAGCAAAGAGGGGAATGTATGAGAGTATAGTTTTACCAACGCTCTTATATGGGTGTGAAGCGGGGTGATGAATGTTGCAGCGAGAGAAGGCTGGAGGCAGTGGAGATGTCATGTCTGAGGGCAATGTGTGGTGTGAATATAATGCAGAGAATTCGTAGTTTGGAAGTTAGGAGGAGGTGCGGGATTACCAAAACTGTTGTCCAGAGGGCTGAGGAAGGGTTGTTGAGGTGGTTCGGACATGTAGAGAGAATGGAGCGAAACAGAATGACTTCAAGAGTGTATCAGTCTGTAGTGGAAGGAAGGCGGGGTAGGGGTCGGCCTAGGAAAGGTTGGGGGGAGGGGGTAAAGGAGGTTTTTGTGTGCGAGGGGCTTGGACTTCCAGCAGGCATGCGTGAGCGTGTTTGATAGGAGTGAATGGAGACAAATGGTTTTTAATACTTGACGTGCTGTTGGAGTGTGAGCAAAGTAATATTTATGAAGGGATTCAGGGAAACCGGCAGGCCGGACTTGAGTCCTGGAGATGGGAAGTACAGTGCCTGCACTCTGAAGGAGGGGTGTTAATGTTGCAGTTTAAAAACTGTAGTGTAAAGCACCCTTCTGGCAAGACAGTGATGGAGTGAATGATGGTGAAAGTTTTTCTTTTTCGGGCCACCCTGCCTTGGTGGGAATCGGCCAGTGTGATAATAAATAAATAATAAATTTATTACAATAAAGGAATGTAAAAAAAATTACCATTTCCCTTGCATTTTCAATAATAAATATATTAGTATAAGGAAGGGTGGGTTGAAGGGATGCTCACAGGCTGTTAGCCCTCAACCCCAACAACTAACTCTCATACACATCCTAAAACAAACAATATATAAAGTAAATACTGTATACCATTCCATCCAGGCTCCTGTCATCTTTTAACCTTCACTATGCAAAGGAAGATAAACAGAGGGCATATAAACACTAGAAGGGTCCCCTTACATAGACAGGTGCAGTTTGGGTCTGCCCAGGTACACATACATGGTGTAAATTACATAGGATAACCCCAAAAAAATTCAAACAATGTGACTTACTAATATGAAAACACTGCATGTACTGACTGGTATGCAGGAATCAACTAATTTAATCACAAACACAGATCTGAAAATCATATGGGGACACGTATGTATGGACCAACGAGAGGTGAGACAGGGAAGGCAGGAGAGGAAGCTAGATCTCCCCCCACAAGACAATGACTGAACCACAGTTAGGCTGCCCACAAGTCCACTAGATGGAGGGGAAAAAATCCAGCGGTCCAGCTCACGGCACTTCAAATTTTTTCCCCAGAAGTGACACCATGTTAGTCAAATTTTACAGGGTGTTAGTCAAAAGTATGCCACAATTTTGCAATAGTGTAATGGAGAGAAAACAGTCAAGGAACACATGTTAATTGATGGTCTACTGTATCAGTAAATAGAGGAGCTCCTGTACATAACACAAAACACTCGCTCACAAATAATAACTAGTGGCTTCCCATAAATAATGTAAGGATAGTAGGCACGTTCTGTTATAGAAACTACAGAATTCATGGCTGTATATAGTGCTGACGATTTCCTTGATGATGCCAAATAAGCTTAAGCTTACCTTGAAAAATCCAAGTGGACCCACTTTTGCTGTGTATGTAATTATATGCCACAAACCCTAGAAGAAAATAACAAAACATAATTAAAATTATATCATACAGAATCTAACTTTTTTATTAAGTACTATACTAAATACAGTGGTACCTCGAGTTTCGTACAGCTCCCAACTCGAACAATTATGTAAGTGTATTATCGTAAGTGCTTTTGTAAGTGTATTTTTGGAGGTCTGAAACGGACTAATCTAATTTACATTATTCCTTATGGGAACAAATTCATTCGGTAAAAGCACTCGAACAGCCTTCTGGAACGAATTATGTATACGAAACTCAGGGTACGACTGATTTATACAAATAATTGTTTTTTTACCTTACACAATACTACTATTATTCTTTATGTTACATCCTACCCTGTCTCAACCAGAGATACAAAAGAAACATAAATGTGTGAAAACACTACAGAAGATGAAAAATAGATGAGAAGTGAGCAGATGAGCCAGAAACAAATATAGAAGGCTGAGGGACAATTTGAGAATGAGAGTAGCAGAGACCAAGTCTCAACCAAAACTTTTTCTCAGCCACATTGGAAAGAAAAGAGGACAGTAAAAGACCATGCGATTTGAATGAAGAAGGTAGGAGAGCTCATGAGATATGAAAAGGAAGTCTGTAAAGTGTTCAACAAATATTATAAAGAGGTCTCGGTGGAATCAGGCAATTCCAGAAAGTCTCGAGATTATTGAGAGTACACCCATAAGTACTGGACACCACATTAGTCATGGCAAAGCTCTAAACCCATATGGGTCATATTGAACACAGGAAACTGGGAAGCATTCAGGTATTATCCAAGGATGGGAAGAGCAGGTTCAATTCCTTGGATCTGCCTCTTACTGACATCAAAAAACCTACCTTAAGGGGACCAGACACCATTGACATCAATAGGATAAGAAGAAGAAAAAAAATGAATACATCAAAGTCAATGATACCTGACTAGATGTCACCACTGGTTCTGTGAGATGGAGCAGAAGCACTGACCAAACCACTAGCTAAGATCTACATGTCAATGGACATGTGACAATTCCCAAAGATCTGAAAAACAGCAAATGTAATCCCTATATTTATGAAAGGAGATGGGCAGGAAGTGGTGAATTACAGACCAGTTGTAATCTGACTATACTGATCTAGCTGTGTGCAGTGAGTGTCCATTTTCTGTTTGCACTTAAGACTTTATGGCCTTTTTATCTTATATTTATAATTTTTCCACTGTAGTAAATCATAAATTATATTTTATGGATACAGGACAACCTAACCTAATTTAGAAATGAGACTTAATTGCTCGGATGACAAGTTGGTTAAAGACACAGATAAGCCACAGGGATGTCAGAAAGTATTTCCAGTCTCAGGGTGATCAGAAAGCAGAATGACCTTGCAGAAGTGGAGCAGGTACAATAGGGCTCATGAGGTTAAGATGAAATTAATCTGGAAAACAGCAAGGCGAGAGGTAGGGCCAGGAGTTAAGATTTGACCAGTGCAACCACATCATAGGGCAAGTATACATGAACCAGGCTGGGGGGCATTGACTCCTGAAACACCCTCCAGGCATACTCCTCCCCTCCAGGTATGCCAGCCATCTCCCACAAATACAGAGTGATCCAAAAAAGAAAGTACATTCATCATCATTCATTCAATGGCTGTCTTGCCAGAAATCCAGGGACATAACAATTTAAACAGACCTGTGGATTGCCATACCCCTACTCATACTTCAGTGACATTACATTATGTATTAAAACCACTGAAGGATGAGTGGGGTGTGGCAGTCCACAAGTTGTTTGAATTTTTACATCCCTGGATTTCTGGCAAGACAGCTATTGAATGAATAATGATTTTTTTTTTTTGTCACTATGAATTGGTGGGAAACAGCTGGTTTAAATTCCTAAGAGGCATTTGGTAGGGTACTGATATAGATGAGGAATACAGTGGGCCAAGAACACTACCCTGAGGCATCCCTATGTTGATAGTTTGTGTTACTAAGGTAGTGCTATTGATTAGCACACAATGAGTTATACAGTACAAATGAAAGCATGCTCTCTAATACCACAATGCTGAAACTAGAGCAATTATTGTCTAATTTTCCTAACAATCCTTTGATTAAAATTGTTAGCATCTAGATATTTTCAGTCATTGACTGGAATATCACATGATACTAATTCCTGGATATAATGAAGTATCTTGTTCTGTATTACATTTGGTAAAATTTTGACTTCAAAAATGCATAAAAAATTTAGCTAACTGTGCTTCAAACTTACCCTGAATTCTCCTGGCCTAGCATTCATGGCCCTTGTTTTGATCACATCAACAGGTTGTGTCATGGTTGTTGCAATTGCACCCTAGGAATAAAAAAAAATATAAGCATTTAGCTATTTAACCATACATACAAGAAAAAGTACACACAGCATTCATACAAGGTATATTAATAGCATCTGAATTCACTAGTCATGAAATATGCAAATGGTGACTCCTGGTTTTTTTTTTTTTTTTTTTTTTTTTTTTTTTTTTTTTTTTTTTTTTTTTTTTTAAATATCCAACCATCTCCCACTGAGGTAGGTTGACCCAAAAGAAAGAGGAAACACATTCACCATTATTCATGTAATCACTATCATGCCAGAAACGTGCTGATATTGCAGTCAAACAGTCCTCCAAACCGCAACAGCGTCACTCATACTTTTTGTGGAAGGAAATAAACTAAGCAGATGGTCAGGTCCCAGTTCTCTGCTCTTACAAGTTGATGAGCTGTAGAACATATTGAAATAGCCACCATCTTGTGTAAATTCTTTTCTGATGTCCAGAACAGTATTAATGATTTAGATGGATAAAAAGAAAAAAAAAGTCTCAGACTTGGAATGTTGTTTTTCATAGAAAGTGTGGAATACTATTTAGAAAATTTGGGATGCATCAAAAAGCCTCTCTAACAGCAAAACAGTTGAGTATGATGGATCATCTGCAGCAGTATTTTGGTATGATGGTTACCCTGCTGAAGCACACAAATATAGTCCCCCTCGAAGGAGGTTCCTTGATGCTAGTGAGGGGCTCTTGATCAAGGGAATGGATTTGTGCTCCAGTTCCCTGAATTAAGCCTGAATACCTTCCATCCCCCCCCCATGCGCTGTATAATCCTACGGGATTAGCGCTCCCCCATAATTAAAATTACAGTTACACAAATATAGTATACACGTACTTTTGATTCTCTTGTACATCTTCTTGAGCATATTATTAATGCATTCATGCCAGTTCATAGTCCACAGGATCTTCAATGTGTTCATCATTCCTCTTTTTTGTAACACAGTCAACTCCCATTAAAAATAAAATAAAGGACCAGACAAAATCAATAAACTACTGACCTATATTACTACCACTGTTACTATTGATATTAACATTGTTACCATTAGAAGGTTAAGGATGTTGCAGTTTGAGGGGGTCACCTGAACTGTGATGTCAGTATACTTCTGGCAGTGATTGAATGAATGACAGTGAATGTGTGTCCTCTATTTTGAGTCAGCCTACCTTGGTGGGAGATGGCCTAGGTGCTAAAAACTTTATTACCATTATAACTGTTATAATGAGAAGTGGTAAACTTGTAGCAGACATACAGCACATGAAGAACAAAGTAGTGTCCTATTAAAAATGTAAAATGAGGTAATTTTAGCATCATACGAGGCCTTTTTTCACCATTTTCGGCCAGATATTAAAAAATCATTAAAATCACACCGGGCGTACTATTATATAAGCTGATTCAGAATATACACTTAAAAATGTAAAATGAGATAATTTTAGCATCATACAAGGCCTTAATTTACAGGTAATTCCTAATGGAGGAAGTTAATATTTTCAATAAGACTATTCATTATGGAAAATAACTAAAAACATGAAAAATACCTAAAAATAACTGAAAGTTATCAAAAAGAACAAGAAATGAATAAAAATTATGAGAAATAACAAAGAATTTGGAAACAACCATAAATTATGAAAAATAAATAAACATTACCCCAAAAAATCACTCCATTTGAACTACTTTTGATGCTACTTAAGAATATGCACTTAAAAACATAAAGAGACAGTTTTAGCATGATACAAGTCTGTTTTCTCTCGTGTTTCTTCCTTGTCTGAGGCGCCTTTGTGGCACATTTATCTTATAAAATTCTCATAACCATCTGTGAAAGCTGTACATACAGGACTTTTTCATGTTTTTGGAGATAAATTGATCCAACAAACAATGTCATCATGACCAATTTTCCATTTTGAGAGAGAAAGTTTTTTTATCATTTTTGGCAGGATTTTCAAAAATCATTAACAATCACACCAGGTGTACTATTTTCTATGCTGATTCAGAATATACACTTAAAAATGTAAAACATAATTTTAGCATCATATGAGGCCTTAATTTACAGGTAATTCCTAATGGAGGAAGCTAATACTATTTTCATTAAGACTATTCATTATGGAAAATAACTAAAAATCATGAAAAATACCTAAAAATAACTGAAAGTTGTCAAAAATAACAAGAAACGAATAAAAATTACAAGAAAGAACAAAGAATTTGGAAAAAATAACCATAAATTATGAAAAAAAAATACAGCCTCTCCTCACTTTGCAACATACTCGTTTACTTACGCTTCAGACTTACGACGGGCTCTCTGACCAGTATGCATACCTGAATAATGTATATTAGAGCTGATTTCCTATATTCTTATTACAATATACAGTACACTACTGTATAAATGTTTAAAATATACCAGAAATGTTATAAATGGTGCAAAGGTGACAGTAACCCTTAAACTGACCAAACGTAGATCTATGTTTATGCGCGTAGCACTCCAACCTTGATTTTCCCCATTTGAAAGATGTAAAAAAAAACGTAGATCTACGTTTGGAGAGTTCTGCAAGCGAACGTAGATCTACGTTTGGACAGTTTAGGGGTTAAAACAATATGAAAGATGCCTGATACAAACTCATTACCATCATAGAATGCTCCTTGCCAGTAAACGAATTCATTTACTGACGAGGCTTCAGGAACAGAACTCCTTTATTAAGTGAAGAGAGGCTGTAAACATTACCCCCAAAAAAATCACTCCATTTGAAGTACTGTACTTTTGATGCTACTTAAAAACATAAAAAGACAGTTTTAGCATAATACATGTACAAGGCTGTTTTGTCTCGTCAGTTTCTTCCCTGTCTGAGTCACCTTTTATGGCACATATATCTTATGAAACTCTTATAACTATTTATGAAAGCTGTAAATACAGGATATTTTTATGTCTGTGGGGATAAATTGATCCAACAGTGTCATTATGACCGTTTTCCATTTTGAGGAAAAAAGTTCTTTCTACCCAAAAAAGCTGGATTTTCAAAATTCATTAACCCTTCCAGGGTCGAGAGGCCCTCAGGGTCGAAAATTTTTCGGAAAAAAAAAAAAAAAATTCTTATGAAATAATAGAGAATCTTTTCCCTATCATAATGACACCAAAAGTATGAAATTTGATGAAAAACTTACGGAATTATGCTTTCACGAAGTTAGAGCCCACTTTGAGCCCTATTTTTGGCCAATTTCTGTGTACTAGTTGACAAAAATCATATTTATTTCATTAGAACTCCATTTTTTCTATCGAATGAGTACAAGAAACCACCCATTTACCAATTTCAACTATCCAATAAAGTGGTTAGAAATTGGCAATTTTGCCAATTTCACACAAATTTCAGATGATGCCAATTTCCAAATAGGGTCCAGAATAAACAAGACAGACATTCCTGGCACTAAAATAACAAGTTCTCTGTTCGTTAGTCATGTTCCCAGGCCCCTCTTATATTTCTTTTGCTTTCCACTTTGAATTTTTATTCTTACAAAAAAATAGAAGATTTACTGTTATGCAGACTACTGTATTAGTGTAGAAATGGTATAAATAATATCAGTGCACTTGTGAAAGAATATTAGACTCACCAGTTGATGTGTATTGGACGCTTGGCATGATTTGTTTACTTTTGAACTTTGGTAAAAATTGAACATTTCTGCTACTTTGAGCTCAATTTCAAGGTACTTTTCATTGTGAAACCAATCAAAATCATCTCAATTTCTGTAATATGTCTTCCATTCTATAAAATGAGACCAGGAAAACTAGAATACAAACATAAATACCATATAAAAATGCAGTGCAAATTCGCTGTTTTAATCCAAAAACACGTTTTTTTTTCTCATTACGCACTGTGTGCTGCAGGATTTTTTTAATAATGCGCACACTGACCACATAGACCCATTCTTTCATATGTAGGCCTACCAGCTTTCTCTCACTAGATTTGAATTTAGGCGTTCTAGTACGTCAATAACCCTGGTGCGTCAGCCGTACTAGTATGTCGAAAACCTTGAAAGGGTTAAAATCACACCAGGCATACTATTTTCTATGGTGATTCAGAATATATACTTAAAATTTACCTTAAATGCACAGTAGTACATATTTAAATGGGTACAGAGAGGCATGGATATGACAATGGACATTCTGAATATTTTTTTTTTTTTTTTTCAACAAGTCGGCCGTCTCCCACCGAGGCAGGGTTACCCAAAAAAGAAAGAAAATCCCCAAAAAGAAAATACTTTCATCATCATTCAACACTTTCACCACACTCACACATTATCACTGCTTTTGCAGAGGTGCTCAGAATACAACAGTTTAGAAGCATATACATATAAAGATACACAACATATCCCTCCAAACTGCCAACATCCCAAACCCCTCCTTTAAAGTGCAGGCATTGTACTTCCCATTTCCAGGACTCAAGTCCGACTATATGAAAATTCTGTATATACGTAACAATAAATGTGTGACCAATACGTATTGCACTGTATAGGTGACAAAGGTAAAGTACCAAGTTAATGAATATGAATTATGATAAAAGCCTGAAAACATCAAAGATACCCACGCTAGCTAACAGGAGGAAGAGGGAGACATGTTAACTTCATACAAGGTCATAAAAGGACATAAAAGATTATCTAAAGATAATTTTTTCATACCTGCAACAGGGATAACAAGAGGCCACAGGAGTAAACTTAGAAAAAAGCAGAGCAGAAGGGATACTAGCAAGTTTCTGCATGCATGCACATGCACATACACAAAAAAATATATGGTACACCAATAATGAATTAAAAGATGTAGTACGGGCTACTGGAGAAGAGTATAGCTCTGCTCCAGTAGCTATAAATACATTATTACAAAACAAAACACTTACCGCAGCTAATGAGCAGGTAAAATGGCAAGTCAGATTGTCAGTGAAGTATGGTGTTGATAACAAAACTCCCTTAATTTGGTCATAGAAGGACAGCTGCCCTATAGTCATTAAAACTGCCCTGAAGGTTGCTGTTGATGCACCACGAAACAGTCGAGGAATTCCTTCTTCCTTCACCACTCGAATAACACCATCTATAGCATGCTTATAGCTGCAAAACAAGATGAAAGATTAAACCCAAAATACAAGATTCAGGACTATTAATTTTCTTTTCAAACCAACTCATTGTATACCCTTGAAACAGAGATGCCTAGCTGCTGGTGAAGGGCTCTCAATCCAAGGAATCAGAACTGCCCTCCTGTTCTTCAATCAAACCTGGTAACCTATTTCCCAGGTGTTGTATAAATCTTATGGGTTTAGCACTTTCTCACAATAATTATTTTAATAATTTTATATATGAGAGATGGGGTGGTAGGAGAAGCAGAATAGTCAAATACCCTCCACGAGAGATCTCAGTATTTTTTCTTGAAGCCTTTATATTAACTTCTCTGAATCTATAGCTTCCCACACACGTGCCTAGAGAATTTTGATTGTACAGCATGTGGGGTCTGACAAATAATACCTCACTCACTGTTTATGATTGTCTCACATTTCAAATTAAAGGCACGTGTAATGAAAACAACGAAAGCCTTTTATCTATTGCCATCAGTACCAACACAGAAATAGGCACTGTTAAAGTCAGGTTGAATATACTGAAAAAGATTTCATTATTATTACAGTAATATTAATAATCATGGGGAAGGGCTAAACCAGTAGGAATCATACAGCCCCTGGAGAATGGTGGGTGATGGTGATCAGATTTGATCCAAAGAAGAGTATACCTGGAGAGGTAACTTCAGTTTCTTGAATCAAGAGTTCCTCACCAACATCAAACTCTACTCTCCCCCTTAAAGTAACTGATGAACCATAAGATCTGTTTCAGTGACAGGTTTTTAGTTATTAAATTAGCCTTTTAGATTTTTCCAATATAAAATAATTATACAAGTGATTATATATTTAAGTAAAAAAAAAACATAATCTATGGAGTACTTTATGATTTTCTCCTAACTATAAGGATTAATAATCATGACCCACTGGTAATAGTGATCAATATGCTATAAACTAAGGAAAATTTAAAAAAAAAAAAAAAATTCTTTTATTATTAAAGGTTGAGAAAGCAGCAGCTGTTATTGTCTTTTATAATGTGATACCCTTTATTTATCTCATACTACAGTACAGAATACAGTGGACCCCCGTTCGCGATGCTATCGGTATCCGATAAATCCGGTAACCGATGCATTATATTGCAGAAAATTTGCCTCGGTTCCCTTACAAAACCCGGTATGCGATACGATTCGTACGAGACATGTCCACGTGTGGCCTGAACTGCCCCGTGTGTGCCAACGTTTACAAGCCAGCCAGTGTGCGCGCATCTAAGGATACATTTGGTACATTCCATATTATCCATATTATCACTGCTTTTGGTGCTTGTTTCTGCAAAATAAGTCACCATGGGCCCCAAGAAAGCTTCTAGTGCCAACCCTACGAGCCAAGGGTGCTAATGACTATTGAAATGAAGAAAGAGATAATTGCAAAGTACGAAAATGGAGTGTGTGTGTCGGAGCTGGTCAGGTTGTATAGTAAACCCCAATCACCATCTCTACTATAGTGAGCAGGAAAACGGCAATCAAGGAAGCTGTTCTTGCAAAAAGTGCAACTGTGATTACGAAACAGCGACCGCAAGTGTTAGAAAATGTTGAGAGACTGTTATTGGTGTGGATAAATGAAAAGCAGATAGCAGGAGATAGCATCTCTCAAGCGATCATTTGTGAAAAGGCTAGGCAGTTGCATGATGATTTGGTAAAGAAATTGCCTGCAACTAGTGGTGATGTGAGTGAATTTAAGGCCAGCAAAGGTTGGTATGAAAGATTTAAGAATCGTAGTGGCATACATAGTGTGATTAGGCATGGTAAGGCTGCCAGTTCAGACCACAAAGCGGCTGAAAAATATGTGCATGAATTCAAGGAGTACATAGAGGCTGAAGGATTGAAACCTGAACAAAACAGGCCTGTTTTGGAAGAAATTGCCAAGCAGGACCTACATTACTCATTAGGACTTGCTACCTCAAGTCCTAATGGAGGGGGATTCCCCTTCTAAACAATAGGTTCAACACTCTCCCCTCCTCCCATCCCATCAATCATCACCAGATCTTCATTAAAGGTAAGTGTCAATTATTCTATTGTTATTATTCTATTGTTATTGTAATTATTCTATTGCATTAAACTTAATATTTCATGTGGTATAAGTTTTTTTTTCATACTTTTGGGTGTCTTGCACGGATTAATTTTATTTTCATTATTTCTTATGGGGAAAACTGATTCGCTTTCTGATAATTTTGGTTTACGATGAGCTCTCAGGAACGGATTAATATCGCGAACCAAGGGTCCACTGTATTGTATTAGCTTTAATTCTATGTTTTTGACATGTCTCAGAAAGGAATAATAAAAAAGTAGGACACATACACGTTCAGTTTGAAATGTGCTTAATTTGAGGGCCATAAATAATTCATGCTAATAGTCTTTAATACCGGGAGCAAGGGGCCAGTAACCCCTTCTCCTGTACAAATTACTAAATTTAAAAAGAAAAACTTTCATTTTTCTTTTTGGGCCACCCTGCCTTGGTGGGATATGGCCGTTTGTTGAAAAAAAAAAGTCTTTAACATTCATTTTATATACAGTGCAAATATAAGGGCTTTGAAGAATGAACAATGTATCTCAACATCAGGGCCTAATGATCCACTGAAAACAATCACACAAACCCCTCCACTCACCTCTATACATCCCACTAAAGGACTATTTTTCCTTTTTCCCAACTTAGTTCCTCTTTTCTCACTATCACTCATGCATCTAACTGCAGTGTGGTTAATTTCAATTCACTTTACATAACTTATTCGAGAAAGAATGAATTTTTATGATCATGTGAATGTGGCACCTTCTGTCGTGTGTTTATGTGGAATTATGTTATATAAATTCTTCATAGTTTGCTGGGAAATTTCATAAATTTTTATTAAAAACACATCTAGCAGCAACACTAACAAGTCTAGTGTTAGAAAAAGAAAGAAGGCTCACATCAATTCCTACAAAACTAAGAAGGCTCACATCAATTCCTACAAAACTAAGTGAAATGATTTACTAATTGATTTTTCACAATAGGTATACTCGACTAAATGAGCCAAAATTTGGTACAGTAAACCCTCTCACAAAGTGTGGGTTATATTCCTGAAAATAAGACCATAATGTAATACAGCATTATGTGAAGTTGAATGCATTGGAAAAAACGGTAACAGTTCAGGCATCATCACTTTCGTCATTCATTATTATTCTTTAATGCATTAAATAAAAATGACTACAGTACAACTTACTGCATCCTATGTTCTGGTAATGCTTTTTTGTTGACATGGAAGAGTGTGGAGAAGGTTGATGTGGGTCTACTGGGTCAAGGCAGATGAGTGATTCGCTCAGACTAAATGCAAAGGCAGTCTTTATCAGATATGCAATGCCTCGAAGCATATCTGCAACTTCCATTTTCTCAATACCCTCACAGATTTATCCTTATTCTTCGTGGCACCTTGAGCATCACTAGCATTTCTTTGGTACTAGAATTAACATCCAGAGACAAGATAGGGTGATGAAAACACCCAAAATTGTTTGATAAGCAGTATATGGGAGAGGGAGGTGGCACTCCCAGAAAGCAAATGTATGTGGCATGGGTGGCAGCACAGGAACGATGGAGCTGTGCCTCCATAAATACTCTCCACACTTAGACCGAAGATTTTACACAGAATTTGAAGCTTGAGAAGTTTGCAATGGGGAGAATACTAACATATTTCACTTTTTCCAATACATAAAGTGCACTATCAAAATTTTTGGCAGAATTGTAAGAGGGTTTACTGCACATGACCCCCTGGTGTAGGTGTGATCAATTATTTGTTCATCAAGAAATATGAACTTTCAAATTATGACCGTTTGGTCACAAATATATAACATATATAAATAATCTGTATAATATACATAAATAATCTGTATAAAAATCTTACTTTCGTTTTTGATCTGCTGGAAGCTTGATATCATTTTGCATGCGAACATTAATCATGTCTCCAGGCGTACCCACAAAGCCTCCACATGCTCCAGCAAACCCAGCTAATAAGACTCGCTTGTAGAAAGGAAGAGGTCCTCCTGAAGACTCAGACATCCTTTGTTTCACCACCTTCATCAAATATTTCAAGTGGTACTAAATTTTACATTCTCTTCAATATTAAACGTAAAATTACTCAAAAAATTTTGCATTCATCAGTACTGTAAATGCAAAACTGTAAAAGCAATGAAGATAAATAATGTAAACATGCACTAAATGTTACATACACAAAGTATACTTGAAGGCAGAGGAAATGCATACAGTATATTTCTTTTATTTCTTCATAAATTTTAAGGATTTGTCTATTATCTAACATTTCTACAATGTAATACTCTCCTGGATTTAATAACCACATCATCTTTCCTTGAAAGTGGCACATTTGAAGGCCAAATTAAATAAATCACTAGGCATAAATTTCTCTTAGTAAGCTAATAATGACCATATCAGGGTTGCTAGGAAATGTTACCTACAAAAACTGAATAGAATTCACATCAAGGTTCCCTGGAACCTGTATTCCATAATGGTCAACTACTGACCAGTTAAACATACTTCTGAAAAAGACATATCAGGGTTGCTTGGAACACAAATAGTGTTTTCCATAAGGGTCAATCAGTGACCTGTTGACCGAGGTCAGAGGAGTGCAGATGACTTGGTGATTGAGAATACCCCCTACATTACTAGACTGGAGACAGAATAATATCAGTGTGGACCAGCCTCAGAGCTTCTGTAGGTGAGAATGGAGAGGTGAGCAGAGAAAGTCAGGGATTTAATTCTTATTAGTCTCAGTGAACATAACATTTTGGGAAAACACTATGTTGTTCAAGAGCAATTGTAAATTCCTGTCGAATTGTGAGAGGTGCTTGGTACAAGGTCAAAGAATAGTTTTGGTCTAGTGATCACAGAAAACAGTTTCCTCTGTCCAAGGTGAAACCAAGAGAAACATAAGAACCCAAAGGCTACATGGGCAGCCGACTGCTTTAGGATGGTCAACACAACCTTCCATTCTATCTCTATCCTACAGAAGAAGCAAATTAATCACCAATGGATCACTGCTCCAAGGTTAAGATCAACTGCCGGATGACAGGGAGTTACAGGCTTCCATGACTGGCCAACTTGTGGGGGCAGCTTATTTCATCTTTTCAACCAAGGGATGCATAGAACAGGAAACCACAGTCAGTTTGGCTCATGGTATCAAAGCTCATAAATCACCACAAAAAAGAAGGTTATCCACAGCAGGCTTCAAAGCCATAAATCTTGCCAACTTAACCCTGCATGGTAGTTGTAACATTCCCTGACACCCCTGAAATGGGCTCTTCCGGCAGAATAAAAAAAAAATTCAAGTAGAAATCTTGGACCCTTACAACCTATAACCTAAAAAGGTTAAACTATAAAGTACTGTATACACAATTTATCCTATTTTAATATCTTGGTAAGTAAATAAAATACAGTAAAGCGCTGATTCAACAGAAAAGAAATCTGCGGCTGGACAATATCCAGAAACAGGTGATAAACTTCGTTAAATCCAGAAATGTCCATTATTGTTACAATCCACCAGGTAAATTTATTTTAGATTTAATGGACAAGACCTGTTATATCAGAACTGCTCATTAATGTTACAGATAATTCTAGATTTAACAAAGTATATTAAATCCAGAATTGTCCATTACTGTTATGATTGAGGAAAACAATCTCATCATTTGGATTAAACAGATAAAAGGCTTTAAATGGACACCTTTTCCTCTCCTAGTAATCCATTAAATCAAGGGCCCACTGTACTCTAATTCTTGCTTTATTTTTTTAAATATTCTTTTTAATAACTAGGTATTATGCTGGTATAGGCAATAGCAAGCTAGTGGAAAGAATAAAGCACAAATGTAGGGAAATCAATAATGTACAATGTTTCATCCACACATTGGCTTTATCAACAAAAAGTGAGGTCAGGGTAAAGAGGTCAGGTAACACAATGTAAGAGAAGCACTGCAGGAAACCCACCAGCCAATGCACTGTGTTACCTGATCTGTTTACCGTAACCCCACTTACTCTGTTACATAAGCTATATTTTGCAATATGTTCCTATACACTTGATACAGTCCATGCATAGGTGAAAAGTACATTAGTTTCCCTCGGATATAACTAGGTAGTGTTATTCACTTATATCACACTATCACACTACATATGCCAATGTATTGTATATGTTGGCTACCAAGTAACTCAATACCAAGTGTGGAGGAGCAGCTCAAACTATTTGCTGATGAGTTCTAACTAGCAACATGGCTAGCCTTAAAGTCAAACATATGCCATGGACCTCTGCTAATGAGATACACAGCAGTGTTAGCTTGAGCATAAACAAAATGAAGTGTAAAAAAAACTTACAAAATACAAAACATGGGAAATATCAATCTTTGAAGATGAGGGTTTTGAGTTTTAAAGTACTGCATACTAGATATATCTATAGGATGAAGATACTCAACAAAAAATGCCATCAGTTGAAGACAGAATACATCTTTAAAGAGAATGCTCTTGGAGTAGACAGATCATGTATTTCACTTTTTATATTGTTCCTTCAAAGTTTGCAATGATCTCTGCCTCTTTAAATCTTATCTAGGAATAGTTTAAGTCATGTTAAACTTAACATCTCATTAACAGAACTATGCTATTAAATGTAAAGTAATCGTAAGTTTGAGTTTTAGTCTGTCCAAAATGCTTTGCATAACTTTGGGATTTTCAATTTATGACAACCAATGCAAACCAATCTCTAACACAAATGTATCTTCTTGAAAAATAAACCTGTGTATTTGTATTTAAACTACTGTACATTCTTAAAAATTTCAATTGTTTATAAGTAAATCAGATTACTGGTAGGAGTAAAAGTTTAAGATGGAAATGCAGTACTGTAATAACAGTACAGAATTGTGCCTGAACATGGTGTAATGGCACTTGTGTGGGAGGGACAGAATAAAAAAAAAAATTGAGTACTGCTCGTTGGCTGTGCCATCTATGAGTGATGTTAGACTATATGTGACTTTTCTGAATTAATTTCATACACATGTATGTACAGACATGTGTAACGTTTCATTAACTTCATTATACTTACATTGATTATTTATGTGAAGGGATGTAAAAGACAAAAGTCATGAGCTTTTAAGAAAATTAAGTGAGGAATTTCTTTAAGTCAAATAATTTATAATTACACTTAACATAATAATGTACCACAGATTCATAATGTGCATTAGTATGAATAAATAACTCGAATGCTGTCTCTCTAACATTAACACTAAAATTATGATACAAAGATAGTGCCAACATAAAAATTGCAAAGTGAAGTATTATAAAGTGCTCAGTGCCAGAGCTGAAGCTTTGTGGTGCAATTCACTAAATGCAATGTGAGTAACTGAACTGTTGCATATGGAAGAAAGCATTAAAATAATTTTCCCTTTTTTTTTATCACATTGTCATAAAGGATAAAGTAATGGCAAGAAAATTATAATACAAGTAGAGAATTAATTATAAGTATTAAAAAATTCTTAGTGTATCAGTGGTTTACCTTATCACTTTCTATAAAAATGCACAAATGACTTCCAATTTATAAAAAAAAAAAAGAGACAAAGTACTCTACAAAATAAAATTGAACACAATGAACATAAGAAAACCAATGATAGTAGAGAGAATAAATAAAACTAGTGAATATATAATTTGTAGATCTGTAAGATCTGTACTTGACATAACACAAGCAGCTCAGACAGAAGAAAACAGACTGAAGGTGCTTGACATATCAAGTCATGCAAGAGTGTCAAGATCAAACAATGTGGATGGGACATTTTAAAACTATTAACTTCACAAATTCCAATTAGGACCCGGCTGCAGGAATTTATTACAACTGTATTATCAAATTCTGAGAGTTAACATTATGAAAAGCTTAATTAATATCAATGATTCAAGTTGTTTAACATATTATTTTTCTTTAAACATCCACATTATTGTACTTCAGTAGTAAATGTAATCCACGCCATGCTGCAGAGGGGGGAATAAGCATGGAAACCTGGCTAGTCCTGTTCTACGAGTAGATATAAAGACGGATGACCACCACTTCCTTCAAGCTAAAACTGGAAAAGATAACAATCTTAGGGAGAATCTCAATGAAGGTTAAATGGTGGGGGGCCAAGAGCTGGAGCTCACCCCTGTAAAAACTCAAACAAGTAATTACACTAATCATAAGACACAAAATACAGTACACAAAGTGCAAAACACATTAGTATTAAATTATTATTTCTGTTAATGTCTGAATTAACACAACATACCTCTTCCCATCTTTACACAAGAGGCTGAGTTCCTGTGAAATGGCATTCACTCTAAAATCATGCACAGTGGACAGGAGGGCCCCCAACTTAACAAGTACACTCTTTTTTTTTTTTTTTTCAATTTGATCTGATTTGACATTATGGATAAAGACACACACAGTGTAATGCGATCCTTTATAGATTATGTTTTGCCTATATAGTGGGCTTTTAACCTCACAAACAGATCTGTTTGTGACTTGATAAAGCCCACTGTGTGGGTGTAACTATCAGTAAATGATTGTATTACACTGCATTTGTGTCTTTACAACCAAGATTTTTGTATAGAAAGAAATAGTACAAAGGATTGTTATGCTTTGCATATGCTTATACTGGAGCTAAGAAGTTGTAAAATATTAATTTGTTACAAAGTGCCCAGTTTGTAAGAACAGCTGTGTGTAATACTGGGTACTTGTAAGTTGGGATCATCTGTATGGAAAAACTAGGGAATGCATCAAAACCATACCCCCGGCCGGGATTGAACCCGCGGTCATAGAGTCTCAAAACTCCAGCCCGTCGCGTTAGCCACTAGACCAGCTAGCCACAATAAGATTCATCCAACTAGGTATATTTCTACACCATAGGAAAGTTAGCACAGGCACCTCTGTGACCACAAATGCAAGTTTTTACAGAGGTGCTGTCAACTTTATGGTGTAACATATACTATTGTTTTAACTGCATTGTGGTCTAAGCGGTTTGTTGGCTAAGAGAGGTCATGGATTTTAGCTTTATACCGCGTTCATACCTGGCCGGAAAGGTTTATTTTATTTGTCAATCGTGTCAATTTACGTTTCTTGAGTTGGTCACGTAGGGAATGCATTACTGACAACTCCTAAATTCCCATATTTTTCACTCCCATCATAAAATACATGTATAGTGTTTTACTGTACAGTGTACTGGGTGGACAACTGCATCATTCTGTCTGTCTTTTTGCCACAGACTTCACAAAACAGTACAAAAAAAAAAAAAAAGTCATGAGGAATGACAAAGCTACTACCACTCTCTACCCTTCTCTGTTACAATACTAAAGAACTTAAGTATATTATGCCACACTAATTTACTGAATATGGACAGGTACGTACAGTATATATTTTGCTGCCAGTGCCCCAAGACGAAGTTTAAACAACACTCACAAGTGGATACATGTCTTCTCATGAGATAACATCTCCCACCTTGCCTCTCCCTCGTAAGTCTTATTCTTTTTATCATTATAAAACAAGTCTTTTAAACAAAAACGAAATAGATTCAAAATGAACTATGTTTGAACTGCTAACAAGCTCCCGTATTAAAACTAAAGAGAAGTACATGTACCTGAGCACCTTTCATAAAATAAACATCTCACCCTAATCAATCTTGCCTAACCAAGTTTGGCTCAACCTACTACATATTCAGTGAAACCTACCCTATATTTAACAACACCTTTCCTCATGTTTAGTAAAACTGGTATTAAAAATAATTTGCATATCAGTGATATGATAAATACGGGAATGATGCAAACTGAAGGAGAGTTATACTATAAATCATGATTACTGTTAACATAAGAGATTTCTCAATTTTTCTTGCATATACATGTACACTTTTACAATTTTTTTTTCCTACAATTTACAAAAATAATATAAATACATATACAGGGGAACCTCTACTTATGAGTGCCCCAACGTGTGAGTTTTTCAAGATACGAGCAGTCACTCTGTCGATTTTTTGCTTCCAGATGGGAGCGAAATTTTGAGATGCCAGTGGGCCTCAAGGGAGGTTCCTTGATGCTGGTGAGGTGCTCTTGCTCTTGATCTAGGGAATTGGATCTCAATTGCTTGTTGGACTATCTTATTGAAACTTGGGCAATATATGATGTAAAGATGCTTCTTAACGTACACCAAAATTGAAAGAAATCGGACCATAAATGACGGAGTTCACTTCTCAGCTATTAGTCGCCCTTTAGTGGTATATTTCGTATGTTTTTATGGTTGTATTCTCGTTGTTTTGGTCTGATTTGACAGAATGGAAGATATATTACAGAAACAAATATGATTTTGATTGGTTTCACAATGAAAAGTACCATGAAATTGAGCTCAAAGTAGCAGAAATGTTGATTCTATGGTGATGTACAAGAGTAAACAAATGATGTCACCGTCCAGTACCTGTCCGACTGGCCATTCCAATATGCAGTCATGAATGGGTTGACATTATTTATACAATTATTACAATAATGCAGTAGTCTGCATAACAGTAAATTTTCTATTTTTTATGTGAATAAAAATTCCAAATGGTGAGCAAGAGTATTATAAAAATATGTATGTACTGTACTAATAAATAATAATAATAAAAATATGTATAACATAATAATTATATAATAATATACGTAATATAGTAATATAAATTATTATAAGAATACGTACAAACAAATAAATAATAATAAATACATATAATAATAACAGTACTATAATAATAATATGATAAGTATAATAATAATACATGTATAATAATAATGTCCTATAATAATTATAATAATAGATGGCTTCGAAAGGCCGTCACTAGATGGCAGTGAATACCATAACAGTGCGGGAGTAGTTATAGCTGTCACATAAATGCATTTTATTTATTCTACAGTATACATCAGGTTTCTAAGTTATTTATATTGTTTATTATGTAATATTAGATGAATTTTGATAGATAAATAAGCCGTAGAGTTGATATTAGGGAAATATTGAAGTATTTTGTCGTGCCAGGAATTCCACTGGAAAGGATTAATTCCATTTCAATTAATTTAAATGAGGAAAATTGACTCGACAAACTAGCAAATTGAGATGCGAGCAAGGTTACGGAACAGATTAAACTTGTAAGTAGAGGTTCCACTGTACAGCCTCTCCTCACTTGACAGAAGAGTTCCGTTCCTAAGACCTCGTCGGTAAACGAATTCGTCGGTAAGTGAGGAGCATACTACGTATAAGAACATAAGAAAGAAGGAACACTGCAGCAGGCCTACTGACCCATGTGAAGCAGGTAATTGTCCCCCCCCCCCAATTAGCCCAATGACCCACCTAATCAGGTCACTTCCACTTAAGGAAGGAGCAAGGCATCAGACCTAGTAGCACAAGCTAGTCAGGTCCACCTCACACCCACTCATGTACGTATTTATCTAACCTATCTTTAAAACTACATAACGTTCCTGCCTCTATAACTGTAGTACTTGGGAGTTTGTTCCACTCATCCACAACTCTATTACCAAACCAGTGCTTTCCTATATCCTTCCTGAATCTGAATTTTCAGCTGGAAATTTTCAACACGCTATTTACATCCCCTTTTTTTATTCCTGTTTTCCATTTATACACCTCAATCATGTCCCCCCTAATTCTATGACTTTCGAGAGAGTGCAGATTCAGGGCCCTCAGTTTATCCTCATAGGGAAGATTTCTGATACATCGGATCAACTTTGTCATCCTCCTCTGTACGTTTTCCAGTGCATTTATATCCATTCTGTAATACGGTGACCAGTGGGTAGTGGGTTTGTGTCAACCATCTCTGATATTGTTTTAATGTCACCTTTGCACTATTTATAGCATTTCTGGTGTATTTTTAAATGTTTATACAGTAGTGTATTGTACGTATATTGTAATAAATAGAATAGAGGAAATCAGCTCTAACATACATTATTTAGGTATGAATATTGGTTGTTGTAAGTCTGAGTCATCGGTAAACGAGTATGTCGCTAAGTAAGGAGAGGCTGTACTCTATTCACATAATTATACTACATATAAAGAACTGTATTGAAGATTATAAACAAGTTGTTTCATGACAAAATTTTCAACATGAATAAAGTTTTCAATAACACAAGTAAATAAGGTCTCATCAAGACTGACATAACACAAAAAAACGTTTTTATGCAGCCGATAAGTACCTCACAAACTGCTATATAGAACGACAACCACAAGCAAAACACTGTAAAAATCACTATTGGTATTTTTTTTTTCCAACACACCAGCCATATCCCACCGAGGCAAGGTGACCTAAAAAGAAAAATGAAAGTTTTCCTTTCCTCTTACGACATGCATAGCTTACAGAGGAAGAATTCTTTTTCATTTCCCCATGGAGAATATTGTTATAGTGCACTCAAGATTGTAAATTGACAGTAAAATGACCACAATATTCAATAGAAAACATGAAATAACCACGGAAATTACCTAAATAAATTATGTACAGTTTGTTGTTGGTATTCAACAATGTACAAGGGGTACAGTAAGTTGTGTAAAGCAAGTTGACTTCAATTTTTTTATTATCTGGAAAACCCCCAGCCCCTTCAAGTCAGATAACTGAGGATTCACTGTATTGTATTCACCATTCATTGCTGATATTTTATGCACAATCAAATAAATCTCACAAACACAAGGATAATTTATAAACAAAATACTATATACAAAAAGCTCAGCAACACACAGTACTTACTGTATATGAAATTGGACTCACAAATCATCCCAAAAATGAGAAGAATAAATAAAACAATAAAGAATAGCCGAATGGCAAGTAAAAGAAAGCCATGAAAGTATTGCACCTTAACCTAAAAAAAATTACAATTCAAACAAACCATTAGAGAAAAATGGAAGAGCAAAAAACCTGCTATAAAACACTGACTTCATATCAACAAAGTGTAATCTAAGAAAAGTGTTACACATACATTAAAAAATATTTCTTGACAGAGTGGTAGATAGCTGGAATGGAATGCAAAGGGACACGTGTGTATTCTATTCCTACTACTACTACTCCTCTAGACATTAAATAATTATATGACAAAAAACACTTTAGTGCAACACCATTAGCATAGATCTGCTCCTGCAACTAGAAATACATTACCACAAATAGGTATTAACAAGTGCCTCTTTGCATATTAGTTCAACAGAAACAGATTTTTTGCTAAATAATAAGTTTCTGCTTCAGAGATGATTCTGGATTTCTGGTAGTCCTTCATTAAGTCATAATAGAAGCATTTTTTTTTTAATTACTCTAGTTACTATAGAACAAGTCTATACTGTACTAAGAAAAATTATTCGCTTAAACACTATGACATTTAGAGTATGGTAACGAAGGGCATTCTATAGCTTTACCTCATAAATAGCAAAGCGTGTAGTAGAGTATGTGAGCTGTCTGAGAAGGGATGCTGACAGACCATTGTACAGAGCAAAAAATCCCTGGTTCTTCACTATATGAACAGCCATCTGACCACCACCCATTTGTTTGATTTGTTGAGTCTGAAGATGAACCTGTTGAAAAAATAATTTATTTATTTATTTATTTATTTATTTATTTATTAATTTGAACATGATACAGAGAAGTACAAAGAATACAATTTTTAAAGTGCAGCAAATCACCCAAAAAAATATTTGAAAGCTAAATCGTATTTTTAATTAATTTTATGGAACAAGCAATCTTAGCTGAACACATCCCCAAATTAGCGAACATCCTTACTAAATGCTATAGATACCCTCAGCCAGCCTTCCACTGTAACACACAATAAAAAAAAAAGGGAGACGACTTATGTGAACTTCTCATGCTTTTGTTGAAAGTTATCAGCTGTAAATTCCAGCAGCAAGTGTTCACTGTACAACAATGAAAACTGGAGTAACAAGGCTGTTTTCTTTCATACTGTACAAAATAAAACTATATAGAGGTTGGAGGGAGAGGGTATCTGTGATCAGGGGGGCAAACAACAATAGCTGCGATTAATGATCACATTTTTCTCATCAAGCAGACACATGCAGCATTCTAAGTTGCCAATAAGTGGAGAAGGTGACTTCAAATACAGGTGTTCACAGTAGACAAAATTGGGTTGTTTCCTCTCATTTTTTTAAGAGCTGAATAAAGCAGCTGTTGACCTTGATGCTCACTACCCACCTCAGTGATCAACAAAACTGGATGTTTTTTGGTTGTTTGATACTGGGTGAAGAAAGAGTGGAAGGCACGATCATTGCTCTGGTTTAGCTGTTTTTAGTGTAGACTCTCCATCTTCTTTCAACAAACTGGTTGCATCTCACCAAAGCACAGTGGTCCCAAAAGAAAAACAAATCTCTCTTTTTAACTTTAGTAATGTATACAGGAGAAGAGGTTACTAGCCTCTTGCTCCCGGTATGTCAGTTGCCTCTTACGACACGCATAGTTTACAGAGGAAGAATTCTGACTCCATCTATATGCAGATAAAATGAAAGCCAGCATTTAATTGGTAACTCCTCTCATTCCTTTCAGATATTTCTGAATTATAGTGCTTTAATGGAGAATATAGAAAGTGCGCTTAGATCAAAATAAATGTAACATTCCATAAGCAGTGCATTTACTAATGATAGCAAGACAAAAATTTACTATGCTTTCTGGCTCACTTCACTGCTCTTTAATAAATCAGGGGAGAAAAATACAACAGGTCTGAGGTCTTGATAGCTTACAGGTAGAGCTAGTCCTGGATGAACACAAGATTTCTAGTAATGCTGAGGGCAAGCAAAGTGAAAATCTATGGCATTAGCAAAGAAAATACAAGTGCTAGCAGTTGACATGGCATGAGTGTAGGAGTTAATGAGTCTACGGTTCATACCATTGTGAAGAGTGAGAAATCCATAAATGAAAGTACATTTCTTCTGCTCAAAAGGCTTAGGTATGTGCAGCTCAATTAAACAGACGTTTCTGAACACCTGGCTCCAGAAAAGCAGTGAAAGATGTGGCACTTAGTGATGCTGTGATTTGGGAGTAGGCACATCCACAGAAGAACCACAACTTTCCACGTTGGCCCAGTAACTTCATTCCCCCACCCTCGACAAGATATTGAACTTCAGGAAGTCAGCACTGCCAAAATGTCAGGTGAGGAACTGCTTTAAAACCTATTTTAATATTTTTTTTCCAATACTGTACTATAAATACAAAAAAATTATGTGCCTCAGAATCTGAAAATCAAGTCTTACTTTTCTCATAAGATATTAATTTCCTATAAAAGACTTTTAATACAAAGCAACAAGGGTTTTCAGGAAGGTATCTACCTTCTTATACAGGAGGACTCCCACTTTACAATGCTTTGCTTTACAGCATTTTGCTAATACAGCGGATTTCATTATACCCATTCTTCACATATTCAGACTTCCTACAATAAATATAGTATTCACCATTCAATATAAGCTTGGATGAAAATATTTTAAAGTAAGTATTGTGTGTCCTGTATATGCATTTTTTTAGGCCTAGCTCCACTGGCCTTCCTGTCCATACAAGAGTCTACCATGTAACAAACCTATATGATTTTATAGATTCAAGGCAAACAGAAATAAGAGATGTACCAATGAGTCATCACAAGGCAGTTGGGTATGGTGGTTTGCCTGCAGATTCACATAAAAACAATTCATTCAGTCTTCTAAGAATATTAATGAAAGAATGCATTATAGTACATAATCAAGGCTCATAAAAACCTACAGAAAAAAAAAGATAAATAAAAAATGCAACATTATCACCAATCATTGATTATTATTCTATTTAGGGAAAAGTGCTAAACCTGTAGTGTGTCAGGAAAAAGACATGTATAGTTCAGGATAGTATTTATTAAAAAAACGTCTCTCATAAGAACTGAAGAAGCCACGAGTGGCAAAACATTTCCTCTAATAAATGTCCTGAACTGTACATAAGTGTTTTTATGGTATCGCCATACCATTTTTCATGTAGGGGTCATACAAAGCCTGGGACAATGGCCAGCAATTAGGTTTGATCCAAGGAAAGATAGGTCCAATACTTTGCATCAAGAATCCCTCACCAGCATCAAGGAAATTTCCTCTTTGAAACTGTCATACTGTACAAGATAATTTTTGTTTTCAACCCGTCTGTCGTCTGCTCTATACGAGCAGAGCTCTATTCATGACAGGCAAGGTTCCTTAGTTTTGTTTCTTCGATTTTAGTAATACAGTGGAACCTCAAAAATCAAACTTAATCCGTTCCAGGGCTAGTTCTAAATTCGAAAAGTCTGAAATTCGAAGCAATATTTCCCAAAAGAAATAATGGAAATACAATTAATCCGTTCCAGAAACCCAAAAATATTCACACAAAAAATACATTTTATAGATTAATTACAGTTTTACATACAACAAATATTATAGTTTTTAATTAGGTATAGTAATACATATAAAATAACATTTTTACTTACCTTTATTGAAGATTGGTTATGGAATCTGGAAGATAGGGAGGAGGAGAGAGGGAGTTGGGGTTAGTATTTGGAAGGAGAATCCCCCTCCATGAGGACTAAAGGTAAAGTCCTCTCTGGGGTTACTTCCCTTCTCTGTCTTTTAATGCCTCTAGGACCAGCTTCAGAGTCACTGGACCCCTGTCTCACAAAATAACTGTCCACAGTCCTCTGTTTCTGGCACCTCTTTAACATTTCCCTAAAATGGGACATGGTTCTGTCACTGAACTTGTTGCAAAGATGGCTTGTTTCAGCTTGCTCAGGGTGGTACTTCTGCACAAATATTTGAACATCATTCCACTTGGCACAAATCTCCTTAATCTTTGAAGAAGGCACCTCATCCACTCCCTATATTAACACCTTTCGCAACATCAGCTTCCTTGATTCGTTCTTTCTTTGACAAGATAGAACCGATGGTCGACTTGTTTTTTTCATACATCCTAGCAAGCTCTAAGTCTCACACCACTCTCATACTTCTGTATTATTTCCTTCTTCACAGCTATGGTGTTTCTCACTTTCTTTACCACAGGGGTACCACTTCCAAGTTTCTTTGGGCCCATGGCAGCTTATTTCACAGTCCCACAAGCACTAAACACAACGAAATAATCATAAAATGCGTGAATGAGAGCGCAGGTTAGTGTTCACTCAAGCATAAACAAAGCTAGACTGCTCACGGCGCCTGCGTGGGAACGCGGAGAGAGCGGGCCGGCAGACAGGTCACGTGCCCGGCGGTCCGAAAATAGGGGCGCATTCAATAATAGGGACACTGTCTGAAAAAATGGTCCTATTTTCGAAACGTTCGATATGTGATATGTTCGATTTTTGAGGTTCCACTGTACATTTGTCAAGGTAAATTCTGTATGTACTTTGCATATTGGAAATTGTTCACCAAAAAAGAACAGTACCAATTCAAAAACCTTGGAGTAAGTTGTTATTAACTGCATTCAGAGCAGGAAGAAAGACCTCAACTTATCAAAGTTTTCCTAGCCAAGCATTTGACTTTTTCCATGATGCTTCCCAATGAAAATGAAACCAGTAGACAAGAGTCTACAAACAGAAGGTCTAAGAACACTTATTCATCTATCTCCCCTATTCAAGATTCAATACTGGGACTTTTCAGTCATAAATTCACAGTGCAGTGGGCCATACTACCATATCATTGATATGTTCATGTATACTAATTTTAAAATGCCACTTTTCAACAGACCTTCAGAAGATCAAGGGGGTGTGTACAGCAGGCAGCTCCACAAGAGGCCATGCCTCCAAAGTACCATTTGGCTAACCGTTGGTCCTCCATGTTGCTGCTAGCCCTTCTACACCAATGATTTTCGTGTCTGTCCCCGTCGTCACTCTCTGAAAAGCCATTTATCAGAAGAGATTGCAATCAACAAATTCTGAAAGGATATTTAGTATCACAGTACAAGATTAATATAAAATTTAAAAAATAAAAAGGAATGAAAGTTATTAACATTTACATTCACTCTTCATGTCCTATATTAAATTATTCCATAATACTGTACTGTACTGTATAGAACGGTTTGCATACATGTACAGTGGACCCCCGGTTAACGATATTTTTTCACTCCAGAAGTATGTTCAGGTGCCTGTACTGACCGAATTTGTTCCCATAAGGAATATTGTGAAGTAGATTAGTCCATTTCAGACCCCCATACATACACGTACAAACGCACTTACATAAATACACTTACATAATTGGTCTCATTCGGAGGTAATCGTTATGCGGGGGTCCACTGTATTTTAGTGTCAGTCTGTTCCATGGAGTGGGCCAAGATTCAATGCAACCTGGGAAATAATCTATGAATGGTAGAACAAATTTAAATTTTATTCATGAAATTTATGGCTGAAGAAGAAAAAAATGGTGTCTGCTGTGAGGATATTAATCCTGCCCCAATAAAATAGAGGTCACAGTGAATAACATACAGTATAATAATGAGACAATTAAGAATGAGGATAAAAGTTAGAGAGAGAAGGCAAATCTGGGTATTTCACACTGATGCATTCAACCTTAAAGCAGAACACAACAAGACTGATACTGGTATTCTTAATGTTGTGAATAAGAAAATACTTTATTATAAGTACAGTGGACCCCAGAGTTTCGGCAGCCTCGATTTTCGCGAAATTCGACCTTCGGCAGGATTTTTTGGAAAAATTTGGCCTAGAGTTTCGTGAAAAACTCGTGTTTCAGCGACCGTCCAGTACCCGTCCGCCCGTCACCGCGCACACAAAGCCAGTCTCCCACGCCATTCACGCTCAGTGTGCCATTGTTACCAACACGTGACCATCAGTCCACGGGTTCATACAATACATTTCATAATAATCCATTGTTTTTTGTGCTTGCAACTGCTAAATAAGTCATCATGGACCCAAAGAAAGCTAGTGCAAGCCCTTTGATAAATAAAGTGAGTGACGGGGATGTGGAAGAGTTGGTGGAGGACCACAGGGAAGAGCTAATCACTGACGGACTGCAAGAGCTTCAACTGGAACAGCATCAGACCACAGCCGAGGAACTTGCCTCAGAGGAGGAGGAAGAGGGAGTGGATGAGGTGCCTTCTTCAGTGATTAAGGACATGTGTGGAATGTGGAATGAGTTGCAAAGTTTTGTTGAAAAGTATCACCCTGACCAAGCCATATCTGCAACATGTACAATGACAGTGTTGTGTCCCACTTCAGGGAAATCTTAAAGAAACGCCAGAAAAAGGCCTCTCTGGATACATATTTTGTGCGCCAGAGGTCCAGTGACTCTCACGTTGTTCCCAGTGGCATTAAAAGAAGAAGGGAAGTAACCCCAGATAAGGACTTGCTACCTAAAGTCCTAATGGAAGGAGATTCTCCTTCCAAACAATAGTGTACACCTTCCTCCTATCACCTCCTCCCATCTTCCATCCACCCAGAAGTCTTCAGTAAAGGTAAGTGTAATGTTATTATTATTTATTTTAAATGCATGTACTTGATTTCTGATTGTTTTCATTATGTAAATCTTTATTTAATTTGAAAAAAATACTTTATTTTAATATTTTTGGGTGTCTGGAACGGATTAATTTTATTTCCATTATTTCTTATAGGGAAAATGGTTTTGAGTTTCATGAATTTCGACCTTCGGCGGGCTCTCTGGAACGGATTAATCACGAAACTCGGGGGTCCACTGTATTTTAAATCACAGGCTTCCTTTCCCAGCCAGGGACAGTAAGCCTGTGATTTAGATAAGATTTAGTATTTGGGTTAAATATATAATAACTAAGTTTAAATACAGTTTTATAAATTTCTATATTGGTTGCATTAACCACACATGGTACCTAATTGCTACAGACATATGTACATTGGTTATAAATTATGAAGATTTTATTTAGGACAATCCAACAAAATCAGTGTGACTCGTTTCCATTCATCAGTCATTAGGTGCATTAAGTAAAGAAAATTATATGAGAAATATGGGAATAAAATAAGTAAATAATGAAAATAAAAAGCCTGAGCAAAGCGGCAAAATGCAAGCAAAGAAGAAATAAGTTTTAATTATTGCTAGTTTTGCATTTACACTTTTAACCCTTAAACTGTCCAAACGTAGATCTGCGTTTGTGCGCATAGCACTCTGACCTTGATTTTCTTCATAAGAAAGAATGTATAAAAATGTAGATCTACGTTCGGAGAGCTACGTGAGCGATCGTAGATCTACGTTTGGACAGTTTAAGGGTTAAATTAGATTTTTGTTCACTTGTAGGTTACAAAGAAAAATACATTTAATACTTGACCTCGAAATACGAAAAACTCACAAGTGAATATATTTAGGTCATAGAGAGAAAATGTTTTCACTTCTGTCAATTATAATAGTAAAGCTGAAGGCAATTAGATGCATTATGTACTGCAATTACAGCATTTTTAAAATCAAAAGTCTGCCAAAGAAATAGTTAAAAAATAATAATTCTTTACCAGACGAAGGTAACATTAAGACAGAAGATTTGAATTTTTACATGCCATACAGTACCATGCTGTAAAACTGTGATAATTTATAGTTCCCAAAAATTTATAAATCTGATATGACAGTTTATATCACATACTAGTTATGGAAGTATGGACTTCAGCTGAATTTTTTGCACACTCATGAATAATCATAGTATGAACAATCTTGGAAAACAATCGATTGCCTTACCTAACAGGCTAATTTCTCCTATCTCAAGAACTTACAGGCTATATCTTGAGAATGTTTAATGTCTCTGAATATTTAGCAAAAGACATATTTTCTCATTTATCTCAGATCCTATAAGCAAAGAAATATCCACATAAAAGTTATGTACAGTATAAGTGCCCTGTAGCTCAGTTGGTAGCACACTCAGCTCACACGTATGAGTGTGTGTGGTTTGATCCTCAGTACAAGTGGAAACACTGGGTGTGTTTCCTTACATCTGCTGTCCCTGTTAATCAAGCAGCAAGCAGGTACCTGGGTGTTAGTTGACTGGTGTGGGTCACATCCTGGGGACTAAATTAACCTAAGTTGTCCGAAATGCTCTGAATAACCTGGGGCTTTCTATACAGTATGTTATGGATGTTAGCTAGGTCTGTACAAGTTGCATCAGGTATACTTGTAGAAATAAAGATTATTATTATTATTATAGTAATACAGCCTGATTGATAAGGCAAGCATCAGACAAGTTTAGCCAGGGGCCAGACTGCAGGAGTAGGAAAACTCTCGAAACCTACCGAAGGTAAAAAAAACAAAAGTATGATAAAAAAAATGGGTACTATACTGCACCAAAGCAACATGTACATATCCACAAACAAATATGGCAAATCTAGAGAGAGAAATTAGCTTGAAGTGACTGACAATCACAAAAAAATAAATATGCACTGGCATGTTTGGAATCTCAAGTTTATACTCTGAAAATGCATTAGGTGCAACTAGAATTACAAATTTTACCAACATATATAATTAAAACTGCAAAATAAACTTGCCTGAAAAGCTGTGTATAATGTAAGTTTTGTGAAAATATACCACACTGATCCTACACTATCATTTAATTAAGTCTGTGCATTTTTTAAATTATAATTTGAAGTTTATTTTGGATTTATTCAATTAAACTATGTCCATATTTTTGCAGGTATAAATGTTGAAGGGGTTCATTGAAGTGTAGGTAGCAAGGAATACCAGTGGATGGGCTGTTAGAGGGTTATTTCCTCAAAAGTACAAGGGCACCATGCGAGACATGAACACCAGGAAAAGAAAGAGAAGGAACAACAATGGTTAAAAATGACCATAATTTTTTTTTAAAGGGGTGGACTGGTAAGCCAGTAGAAGGCCTTGGTCAAAAGCTCCAATAGCGGGTCATCATCTGACCAAGACCCGCGTCAGGAAACACTTGTCCTGTTTCCTGACGAACTTTACCTAACCTAACCTAACCAGGAAAAGAATACCAAAAACTAATGCAGCAGCATTTTTATACTTAGCAATGTGAAGCAACACGTACAGCACTGAAGTAGTTTTTGTTAGTGATCGTTTGATTTTTATGAATAAATAAGTAAATATTAAATGTGTAAATAGGTATCCATTTTTATAAGAAAGGACTAAATTGGCAAAAGTCAGTGCCTGGAGAATAGGAGGTAAGTAGGTTTGATCTGAGGAAGGGGAGAGTAGCACCAATTCCAAAGATAAAATTAACAACCAATGCTACAAACATGAATAAAATGCTCAACAAAAATAAATATCATACAAAGTCAAAATAACCAGAATCAATTAAAAACCACATAACAGCATTAATGTTTAAAACCACAATGAAAGTTCTCCAAGGTCCCCAAAGGCACCAAGTAATTATATAATCCATGGCAAAGGCGAAAATACCTAGGCCTCTGGCACTGTTAAAATATGTTCCACAGTTAGCATGTAACAAGCTACAGGCAGCCCCCGCGGGTTTAGTTCAGGGCCACTGCTGTAAAATAAATCACAATCTTTTTCAGAAATGCATGTAAAAGCTCTAATTCCCCTGATCAAGAGCCCTTCACCTGCATCAAGACACCTGACTTCCCCTGAAGGGAGAAACTACACAGCTACCTTATGTAAAGTTGCATGGCACTTAACAAGTTGCTAAGTGACTCGATTATTACAAAGTACTCAGCAACCAACATTGACTTTATAATAGTGAAGCCTCCATGATGCAGAATATTCAATCAGTCAGTAAAAAATAACACCATATTAATTTCCAATCACGAGCCAGTACACATATTGAAGCTTATGGTGTCTCCCAGCCAGCACACATATTACAGGATGGCACTCACAGCTGGTACCCAGGTGGCACCAGTGCCACAAGTCTTGATCTGGAAGAAGAAGAAAGCAGAGTAGAAGGCAGCAATGGAAGCAATACACTAACAACCTTGGCAACTCACTTGGACACTTGCCAGAAAAAAACGAAACGTATTGAAAATGTTCACTTACTTATATATTAACATTATATCTACTGATTAAAGAAATTTTTCTCCATTATATGAATTATTGGAAAATATACAGTGTGCTAGGAAACACCTGGTGTTTTTAAGGTTTATTATTATTTTGTTTTATGGTTGGTGGGGAAAATATGGTCTATAAAATTAGCAAAGAGAACGAAAACCAGTCAGAAATTCTGATATTTAAGCCCATTGGTGAACCAATGAGAGTTAGTGGAAGGTAACCATGAGACACACACCTCCTGCAACAGCCAGTCATAACTCCAGACATGCAACAACAGTAAGTAAGTAAGTTTATTCAGGTATACACAAATACAGTTACATGGAATTATCATACATAACAGCATATGTGTAGAGAACCTAGGATAACCCCAAAAAGTTAGACAGAGTGACTTATTTCCATTGGGGTCCTTTAAATTGCCATGAAGTCACTTGTTTAGCTATCATAACTTTGTGGTCCCAGTCCCTGGACCCATTATGTACCTCTGTGTATAATAAAGATATTAAACCCCAATGGAAATAAGTCACTTTGACTTTTTTTGGGGGGGTTATTGTAGGTTCTCTACACATATGCCTGGTGGTTAAACCTCTCGCTTCACACATGGAGGGCCCGGGTTCGATTCCCGGCGGGGTGGAAACATTCGACGTGTTTCCTTACACCTGTTGTCCTCTTCACCTAGCAGTAAATAGGTACCCGGGTGTTAGTCGACTGGTGTGGGTCGCATCCTGGGGGGACAAGATTGAGGACCCCAATTCAAATAAGACAGTCCAATGATGCACTAACTTTTTCGGGTTATCCTGGGTGGCTAACCCTCCGGGGTTAAAAATCCGAACGCAATATTATCTTATTGTATTTGTGTATACCTGAATAAACTTACTTAACTGTTAAGTTACTTTTTATTTCCACATTTCCACATGATAATGGAAATAAACCATTTTGGTTCTAGGACAAGAAAAAGTACGAATGATATACTAATAAAATTATTTGACTCGCTCTACTCATCTCGAGAAAATAAAGAAAATCCAACGATTATCTCCCCTCAAGGGAGGTTCCTTGACGTTGGTGAGGGGCTCTTGATCCAGGGAATTGGATCTGTGCTCCAGTTCCCTGAATGCCTGCCATCCCCCTACATGCTATGTATAATCCTACGGGTTTAGCGCTCCTCATGATTATAATAACGATTATCTATTGATCTGAGAAAAAACTTTTAACATGGTAGACCACAACATTCTGCTGCTCAAATTAGAACATTACTGAATCATAAGTCATGCTCTAACATACATCACGTCCTACCTTAATAATAATAATTTAACATTATTCTATCTCATAAACACGCTAGATAACAGGGATATCTTGCTACTCCTACTTACACTTTGGTCACACTTCACAGACACGCACATGCATATATATATATATACATACACAGTTTTAAGACGAGGTTTGATAAAGCTCATGGAGCGGGGAGAGAGAGGGTCTAGTAGCAACCGGTGAAGAGGCGGGGCCAGGAGCTAGGACTCGACCCCTGCAACCACAAATAGGTGAGCAAATAGGTGAGTACATACATCTAGGTTTTTCTCCTTTTTCTAAATAGCTCTTGTTCTTCTTTATTTCTTCTATTGTCCTTGGGGAAGTGGAAAAGAATCTTTCCTCCGTAAGCCATGCGTGTCGTATGAGGCGACTAAAATGCCGGGAGCAATGGGCTAGTACCCCTCAAGGAAGGTTCCTTGATGTTGGTGAGGGGCTCTTGATTTAGGGAATTGGATCTGTGCTCCAGTTCCCCAAATTAAGCCTGAATGCCTTCCACATCCCCCCCCCCAGGCGCTGTATAATCCTCTGGGTTTAGCGCTTCCCCCTTGATTATAATAATAATAATAATAATAATGGGCTAGTAACCTCTTCTTCTGTAGACATTTACTAAAAAAGAGAAGAAGAAAAACTTTATAAAACTGGGATGCTTGGATGTAGTGCGGATGACAAGAAACAGATGATTGCTGATGTTATGAATGAAAAGAAGTTGGATGTCCTGGCCCTAAGCGAAACAAAGCTGAAGGGGGGTAGGGGAGTTTCGGTGGGGGGAAATAAATGGGATTAAATCTGGAGTATCTGAGAGAGAGTTAAGGAAGGGGTAGCAGTAATGTTGAAGGATCAGTTATGGAAGGAGAAAAGAGAATATGAATGTGTAAATTCAAGGATTATGTGGATTAAAGTAAAGGTTGGATGCGAAAAGAGGGTCATAATAAGCGTGTATGCACCTGGAGAAGAGAGGAATGTAGAGGAGAGAGAGAGATTTTGGGAGATGTTAAGTGAATGTATAGGAGCCTTTGAACCAAGTGAGAGAGTAATTGTGGTAGGGGACCTGAATGCTAAAGTAGGAGAAACTTTTAGAGAGGGTGTGGTAGGTAAGTTTGGGGTGCCAGGTGTAAATGATAATGGGAGCCCTTTGAACTTTGTATAGAAAGGGGTTTAGTTATAGGTAATACATATTTTAAGAAAAAGAGGATAAATAAGTATACAAGATATGATGTAGGGCGAAATGACAGTAGTTTGTTGGATTATTTATTGGTAGATAAAAGACTGTTGAGTAGACTTCAGGATGTACATGTTTATAGAGGGGCCACAGATATATCAGATCACTTTTTAGTTGTAGCTACACTGAAAGTAAAAGGTAGATGGGATACAAGGAGAATAGAAGCATCAGGGAAGAGAGAGGTGAAGGTTTATAAACTAAAAGAGGATGCAGTTAGGGTAAGATATAAAGAGCTATTGGAGGATAGATGGGCTAATGAGAGCATAGGCAATGGGGTTGAAGAGGTATGGGGTAGGTTTAAAAATGTAGTGTTAGAGTGTTCAGCAGAAGTTTGTGGTTACAGGAAAGTGGGTGCGGGAGGGAAGAGGAGCGATTGGTGGAATGATGATGTAAAGAGAGTAGTAAGGGAGAAAAAGTTAGCATATGAGAAGTTTTTACAAAGTAGAAGTGATGCAAGGAGGGAAGAGTATATGGGGAAAAAGAGAGAGGTTAAGAGAGTGGTGAAGCAATGTAAAAAGAGAGCAAATGAGAGAGTGGGTGAGATGTTATCAACAAATATTGTTGAAAATAAGAAAAAGTTTTGGAGTGAGATTAACAAGTTAAGGAAGCCTAGAGAACAAATGGATTTGTTAGTTAAAAATAGGAGAGGAGAGTTATTAAATGGAGAGTTAGAGGTATTGGGAAGATGGAAGGAATATTTTGAGAAATTGTTAAATGTTGATGAAGACAGGGAAGCTGTGATTTCTTGTATAGGGCAAGGAGGAATAACATCTTGTAGGAGTGAGGAAGAGCCAGTTGTGAGTGTGGGGAAAGTTCGTGAGGCAGTAGGTAAAATGAAAGGGGGTAAGGCAGCCGGGGTTGATGGGATAAAGATAGAAATGTTAAAAAACAGTGGGTATATAGTTTTGGAGTGGTTGGTGCAATTATTTAATAAATGTATGGAAGAGGGTAAGGTACCTAGGGATTGGCAGAGAGCATGCATAGTTCCTTTGTATAAAGGCAAAGGGGACAAAAGAGAGTGCAAAAATTATAGGGGGATAAGTCTGTTGAGTATACCTGGTAAAGTGTATGGTAGAGTTATTATTGAAAGAATTAAGAGTAAGACGGAGAATAGGATGGCAGATGAACAAGGAGGCTTTAGGAAAGGTAGGGGGTGTGTGGACCAGGTGTTTACAGTGAAACATATAAGTGAACAGTATTTAGATAAGGCTAAAGAGGTTTTTGTGGCATTTATGGATTTGGAAAAGGCGGATGACAGGGTGGATAGGGGGGCAATGTGGCAGTTGTTGCAGGTGTATGGTGTAGGAGGTAGGTTACTGACAGCAGTGAAGAGTTTTTACGAGGATAGTGAGGCTCAAGTTAGAGTATGTAGGAATGAGGGAGTTTATTTCCCAGTAAAAGTACGCCTTAGACAAGGATGTGTGATGTCACCGTGGTTGTTTAATATATTTATAGATGGGGTTGTAAGAGAAGTAAATGCGAGGGTCTTGGCAAGAGGCGTGGAGTTAAAAGATAAAGAATCACACATAAAGTGGGAGTTGTCACAGTTGCTCTTTGTTGATGACACTGTGCTCTTGGGAAATTCTGAAGAGAAGTTGCAGAGGTTGGTGGATGAATTTGGTAGGGTATGCAAAAGAAGAAAATTAAAAGTGAATACAGGAAAGAGTAAGGTTATGAGGATAACAAAAAGATTAGGTGATGAAAGATTAGATATCAGATTGGAGGGAGAGAGTATGGAGGAGGTGAATGTATTCAGATATTTGGGAGTGGACGTGTCAGCGGATGGGTCTATGAAAGATGAGGTGAATCATAGAATTGATGAGGGGAAAAGGGTGAGCGGTGCACTTAGGAGTCTGTAGAGACAAAGAACTTTGTCCTTGGAGGCAAAGAGGGGAATGTATGAGAGTATAGTTTTACCAACGCTCTTATATGGGTGTGAAGCATGGGTGATGAATGTTGCAGCGAGGAGAAGGCTGGAGGCAGTGGAGATGTCATGTCTGAGGGCAATGTGTGGTGTGAATATAATGCAGAGACTTCGTAGTTTGGAAGTTAGGAGGAGGTGCGGGATTACCAAAACTGTTGTCCAGAGGGCTGAGGAAGGGTTGTTGAGGTGGTTCGGACATGTAGAGAGAATGGAGCGAAACAGAATGACTTCAAGAGTGTATCAGTCTGTAGTGGAAGGAAGGCGGGGTAGGGGTCGGCCTAGGAAAGGTTGGGGGAGGGGGTAAAGGAGGTTTTGTGTGCGAGGGGCTTGGACTTCCAGCAGGCATGCGTGAGCGTGTTTGATAGGAGTGAATGGAGACAAATGGTTTTAATACTTGACGTGCTGTTGGAGTGTGAGCAAAGTAACATTTATGAAGGGATTCAGGGAAACCGGCAGGCAGGACTTGAGTCCTGGAGATGGGAAGTACAGTGCCTGCA